TTTCACTTGAGGTCGTCATGCAATCTCAGTAGTTACTGATGTGATATCAGCGTCAAGAATCCGGATTGATAACAAATATGATTAAGCTTTGCTGGGAGTACAACTGGATGGAATATAAAATCATAGGGATGAGAGGCACATACACTGATAGATAAACTCATTTTTATTGAGATGTTTCTTTCTTGGAACAAGTATTATATAATTGAACGAATTACAAATAAATAGGATCTTACGGTGAATATCAATTATTTCTTCTTGAGGTGCATTTACTTGAATCAAATAAAACAGGCCTTGGCGTCGAGTCACATGTATTCACCACAAAAACGGAAAAGTTCTGTTTTTTTACATCTAATATAATCTCCAGTCGAGAAATTTTCTGCTTTCATGAATTGATCAAAAATTCGTACCTAGGAAATGATTACATTGAGGAATGAATTGAATGTTGTTTTCTCGAATGAAGCCGATGTTTAAATTGAGCTTTCCGTACATCACATTGAACGAAATTTGTGATATCCAAGTTTGTGTAGAATTGCCGTAATCTGTGATTCTGTTATTGTAAACTAATGCGATTTTTTTAAGTCAAGAAATATAAACTTCTTTCAACTAAACGACATCCTACTACAATCTCAAAGCTTTTTCCGCGTAAAAATATTCCTCCTGATTCGACATACGAAATGATCAAGTCAATTATAATTTACTTGGAGCAACGTATGATCGTGTTGATTGAGATAACAACGTATTTAGTCATGAGAATAATTTTGATTTTTGAGTAAATCAACGAATTTCTGGAGTTGGCAAACTTTTGGCTAGAAAGAAATCAAATGCTCTCATTATTGCGACAAATAAAAGGAACTTCAATTCTAGAGAAGTTCGATTTCTCCCGATCAAATGTATCTCAAGAAGAGATAACTAATATTCACTATGAAATCATGTTTATTTGAAAATTAACAACCAATCGATAGTTGATTCAAATAAAATTCTCTTGATAAAATCAATTTTTTTCTGTCAGTGTATTTTGTCGTTTTGACATAATTCATTGCCCGTTTTACGTCACACATTCAGTGGTTCTTGTATCCCACCCTTTTCACTTTCATTTTATCATTCACTCTACACTGAACCCACATTACATTTTAAAAAATTCTGATAACTGTGAAAATTATGAAGGAAACGGGTGGGTTGACATTATTCATTCATTTATCTTGAATGAGGAAAGTAATTTTTAATTATTAATCTTGTGCTGATTAGAAGGAAGAAAGAATATTATAATTCCGATTGTGTATGAAATGAGACAATTATCTGATTTTATATCCATTTCAGTTGGAACTCCTTTAATTTATTGTGAAGTTAATTCCATAAATTCAAGTGAATTCGAGTCTCCTTGTAATTAAATTCTGCAGTGAGTAAGAAGCAGTGAACCGGCTCAAGTTTAATCGTTTTTTTTTTTCGAAGATCAGATCACAGTAGCATGACCACAATATTCTCACAATTGCGTGAGAAACATTCGAATAAATTCATACCTGATTAGTACCCTGAGAGAAAAACAAACACGTTGTCAAACAAGTCTCGTTTGGGCCAACAAAATCGCTAGTTGAAAATTGCCAAAAAAGATTTTGTTTGATTCGAATTTGAAAGTCTCAAACATGAATAATTGTTCTGCTTTCGACAGCAACGAAATATTTGGCTCAAGAGGCGGATAATTCACACCAGACGGTGCCTTTTCAGGATGAAAATATCTCATAGAGGAAAATTTATCAACTAATATTTCATCCCTAAGTTACAAGATTGCTATCATATCATTATTATTGTTTCATTTAAGGGCTCATTTTCAAGCCGAAACGAAAAACTACTATCCCATGTTCCGCATAAAACAAAGATTTTTCGAGAGCAAAATACGTATGGGAGTATCAAATAACAAAGGAGTAGTGCTAGAAATGACATTTCTTGCGTGTACAGAGAATGCAATTTTTTTTGAACTACTAAATCTATTTTTGCAACAAAAATTTTCCATTCCGGCGCACTCTCTGCATGTTTGGCACAAAAAATCCTTTTTTGATAATTTTCAAAAAACTATTTTCTTGGCACAAGTAAGACTTTTTTGAGAACCTCGTCGTTTTTCTCTCAGTGTAGGGGAGAGTGGGGCAAAATGAAATGATGCAATTCAAGTAAAAACAAATTTTTTTGTCAACTTTTATTTATTGACTTTTTTATTATTGAGAGTGCTGATGAGAATAATAATTTTCAATCCGTATTATAATTCACTTGATTAGATGAGGGCGATTACACTTTTCGTTTTTCATTCGATTGAAATTCAGCATCACATTTATTTTTTCACACTCTGGGTCTCCCCCTGGGCCTTATTGCTCTGGACTTTGGATTTTGCTGTTTCATTTTCTTTTTAATTAATTCATTGGCAACATTCCCGGTCGAAACTTCTCAATAATTTCTTATTCTACTGAATGGAAAATTATTTTCTCATCAGTACTCTCAATAATAATAAAAAGTTGATAAAAAAAAGTTAAATAATTGTACGTACATACGTCCATGGGCTTTCCTTCTTTCTTAAATTTCCTAAAAACTCCTTGCATTCCTTCCAATTTTCTGGAAACTCCTTGAATTACCTCGAAATGTCTAGAATTTTCTCGAATTACGATAGATGGCGCTGCACATAAAGACCGTTTCCCAAAATGAGCCTCCATATTGATCCCATAGACGTATCCACGTCAAAAAAATTGTTTTTCCTTGAATTGCGTCAAATAGGCGTTTTTCCACTGTTTCATTTTGCCCCGCTGTTTCATTTTTCTCCACTCACCCCTGTCAATTAAAAAAACTCGTTGACTTCATTTCGTCGGAGTTACTACAACTAATTTCCATAATTACCAGAAATATTGGTTTCATCTGCTCCCCCATTAATCTAAAAAAAAACAAAATTTCCCTTAAGGGGAGATGGAACCCCTTTGTCTACATCAAATTTTAGAATTGTGTTTTTTCCTACAATTATTAATTTCTATCTATGAAATTACTTTATCGACTCGATTATCGCATTGTTGAGTCAATGAAGTAGTTTAATGAATAAATATAATATAAACGCAGGGGTTCCGTTTCCCCTTAAAAATGACAGAATTTAATTTCCGATAAATGGATAAACATCCTTAATTCCATGAACTCAATTACGGACCTATCTTTCCTATTTGATCTTCCACTCTTCATTTTTTTTACCAACAATATCCTGAAGATCATCCCCAAAGACGTTTGATTAATTTCCATCAACTCAGAGGTGGAGAATTCGTGATTACCCGCAAATTCGTTCGTGCACGAAGTGAAATGTCAGTTAAACTTCAGTTAGAGTGACAGTCGACCTAAAAACTCGAGTTTCTGTTTATCGGATTGTCTGTGTTGCACACAATGGCATCGAGTTCTGAGTTGGCTCGAGGTGCCAGGCGGAGAACGCTGATACCGAGAGTGAGGGCTGGTGGTGCAGAGGCTCGAGGTATCGACTCTACGTGCAATGAAAGAGGAGAGAGTGGAAAGGACTCGGGATTGTCATCTGACAATACAACGCCGACCGGTTCTCCACCTCCTAGGCAGCAGAAAATTATCGTTCCACCTCTCTCTGTCGTGAATTCTCTAGTTGCAGCACGCAAGGGCGATAATGCTGCGAGGTAGCTCATTTATAGAGTTGGCGAACATTTCAGTAGCGAAGTGGTAAAACTAATATCAAAACTTCTGCACGATGCAGGACTCAATTGACAATTTCAGGTGACGAAAGATGAAAAAAAAAACCTCGAGATAACATTCGAAAGATGGTACACCCGAGCCTTAAGTCGACTCATCTCCTAGTTGAGTTTTTGAAGAATATTTCCGAATCTAAGAGAAATAGCGAAATTTTTGTAATTACATTTGCTGTAGCTCTCAATCGGCTCTACAAAAAAGGTTATAACAAAAAAATTTCTATCTCCCTTAGACTCCGAGATATTCATTGAAAACTAGCCAACAGGCAAAATTGACTAATACCGGTTTACCACTTCGTTACTGATTTTTTTCCTTTCCAATCGAAACATTGAGGTTTTCCACATTGAGTTCCCAATTTGTTTTTATTGTGTTGCTAGTGCGTAAAGTTTCACTTTTTCACACGCACGTGTAACACATCCTTTTTTGTGGTACCTGACGAGTTCACTGTTCAGAACGGTAATGGGGGTAATGCGGTAGTTTTTGTGCACGAATGCGTAAAGTTCAAGAGCGTGCGTAACGTGAATTTCGAGTGCATATTCACTTTCCGCACGCTCGTGACCTTTGCGCACGCCATGCAGAAAACAACCGCTTTACGCACACTAAACCGTTTCGAAAAGTGCACTTTTCAGGCAGGTATCACAAAATAGTATATTTCGTTACGAGTGCGGAAAAGCAGCGTGCCTAAAAAGTTACTTTTTCGCACAGCGTGATGAAAAAGGTAGAATAGTTACGAGTAAACGAAAAGGCACTTTTCGGCACGAGGTGAACGTAGCAGCAGTGTTGAAATAGTATATTTCGATACGAGCAAGACGGAATTTTCACAAATGCGAAGCTGGCGCTCCGAGGCGAAGCCGAGGTCGAAAAAGTTGTTTTCGGCCGAGTGACGAATATAATTTTTCTTCATAATGTCCATAAAGGGCGTTTGGCGGACACGAAGTGTCCGTAAAATGACGTTTTACGGAGTCTGATGAAAAAAAAATTTCTGACGAGTGTGAGGGTGCAGACCGAGGCGAAGCCGCGGAATACAATCACACGAGTCTGAAATAGTATGTGCTACAGGTGCGTGCGAAAAAGTGAAATTTTACGCACAAGTAACACAATAAACAATGAACAATGTCACAATGTCAATGTGAAGTTGATAGAGTAGTCTTCCTAATGCTTCCTCTGCAGAGCTTACTTGTCCTTCAATTTGCTGAGTGTTTATTATTCCTGAGCAGACATTCGAAAAATTAACGTAATAATTCTACGATTTTTGTATCGATTTTTTGCAGAATTTCAACTGCAAGAACATCGAGGATTCTCCGCAGTAGGGCAGGAACTGATTCCCCTCGTTCTCAGGACAGTGTGAGGACAAAGCAAATTGCTAGTCCATTCAGACCAGTATTTACCGGAAATGTAAGTAAAATTCCCGCTCAACCAAAGTAGAATAATTATCAAAAAACCCGGGTTCGATTCCCGGATAGGTAAAGCGGAAATTTTTTCTCTCTAAATTCTAATTCTCTTAGAATTTTTTTGCATCATTTTTTTTTTCACTCAAATCTGTGGTGAATTGGTAAACTAGGATAAATGTATTTTTTTTTAATGAATTTTTGGTTACATTGCTTCCCTACAATTTGTAGAAGCGGATTGACAAAAAAAATTAATAGGATTCATAGGATTTTTAGAGTCTTCCAGTAGGAATTATGAATTTCAATATAAATCCCATAAGAGCCCGTGTATGAAGAAAAATTTGTTCATTTATTTATGACGAGACTGTTGCGATTATTTTTTTTAACATCAAAGAAGTTAGTTCCATATGATCCGATATCAGGCAAAAAAATTATAGAATTTTCCTTGAACATGAAAAAATAAAATTTGCTGAAAATGGCTAAACACCATTAAATATACTCATCCTAGTTTACCCATTCACGACAGAAATTACATGCTTAAGAGAATTTGTCATGCATTGGAGATCGACTGTATATGTCTAAAAACGAATAATTAGTGCAAAAAAATTAATTGTTTATTGTTCGCTTGCCCCGCATTTTTGAGCTAGAGGTTTTTTTTTCAAAATTTTTGACAAAATGTGTACAATAACAATTACGAATTTGTTTTCGAAAATTCAATTCCTAGCTTATTTCGTTTTGTTTAACATGAAAATTGCGTCATTCATATAAAATAGGCAGAAAAATCCTTATCCTCATCCTTAAAATATTTAAAATATATTCTCGATTCTTTCAGAAACATTTTGTGGGTTATTTCCATTCGATTTTTATGAAATGAAACCCAATTCTGATTTGAATGTACGAAAAAATAGCCGATGGGTAGTAGCGCACGTTGTATATAGTAGTCGAGAAAATGACCGGTCGTTTTCGGTAATTTTTTCCGCCTACCCTCTAATTTATTCTCAATGAAAATACTCAACTGCATGGAATTTCGAATTTCAAATGATTGAATTGATTTTTATAATTTGTGTTTTTTTATCTTCAACTAAGGGTCAATCTCCAAGTCTGAGTCTTGACTCAGGTGACGAAGGAAGTCCCAGGCTTGAGAAGTGTAATTATCACCAGGATATTGTCTCCATCAAGACTGGTCTCTTAAAGCTCATGCGAGTAGTTCAGGAGGTAATTTCTCAATTTTTCCAACTTCATTAGTTGTCGTTAACCAGTGTTACGTGATTTTATGTGTGTTAATCCATATTTTTAGTTTATTAATGATTTTTATTCTGTTCCATTAACTCATTTTTACTGTTTGTTTGCTTTGTTTTATTTTCTGGTTGTTCCTCGATTTTTCCACATGATTTCCGAAGTCTGGAGAGAAAGATTTGACGAGGGTACGTTATCATCATTGCTTTATGTTTTTTATTTCATTTATTATGTTGTTTAATGTTTAATTAGATACAGAAGTGAAGTTTAATGAAATGAGACTAGAGATAAGTTCAGAACACATCAACTTATGAATTATCTTGCAAATATCTTTGAAATGAAGAGGTTTAGAGAACAACTCGTTCGTAAAAATGTATGACATTCTGGTTTCAAAGAAGAAGATAAGTTCTAGGTGAATTCATCCCAGACAATTCATCTCAATACAATTTAATAGGGAACTTGCATCAATTTTTTTTAATTTTCTAATCTTAAGTTTGGAACCTGAATAATTCCTTTTTCATTCGCAAACGTTTGAAATATTGTTCATTAATTAATAATTAATTGGCAAAAGTTGAAGATTTCAAACGCTTTGAAATGTATAACTGATACAGTGGTTACGGCCAACATTTCGGTTCCCTATCATTTCAGTCGGAGAAGTTGATTTCCCCCACCATCGACAACCTAAATGTGTGGGTAAATCGGTGTGTCCCTCTGCGCGACAGGACTGCGCAGTAAAATAACTCGGCATGTGAGAGTGAAATAGGCAGATTCTTTCTCTCTGTTTGTCTTTCATAGCTCCGCCTCCAACGGAAGAGTAGGGGCTTCTCGAACATTTAATTCCTTGAATTCTCGACCCTGAGGCTGAAGTGTTAGGGAGTAACCACTGTACATTGTACATGTAGGCACCGTATTCCGTCCCTGTCGTCGAATGTTTGTCTAAATCTAGTTATTTCAGAGATATTTGTGAAGACTTCCCGGACTTCAAGAATTTATCACATTCATTAGCATCATAATTGTCAACAATTCTTTTCAAACGCTCATTATAAAACACAAAAAAATGGGAAAAAAAAATTTTTTTGTGGAAATTTTTTTTTTCCGCAAAATGGGAAAAAATGTCAAGGAAAAAATTGTGAAAAGAAATTTTAAAATTTTTCTTCGGGGAAGTCGTTGGGGGAAACATTTTCCGGGGAAATTTTTGTTCGGGAAAATTTTTTCCGAGAAATTTTTTTCGGGGGAAAAAACTCCGGTCACCTACTGAAATCATTCTCGTCCTGCCCAAGCCAATGCCCAAGGGAAGATGTTCGAGGGAAATTTTTCAGGAAAAATTATTCCGGATAATTCTTTTGTTCACTTTTATCTCAAGTTCAGTACTCAGGGGAAATTATTCCGGGAAAGTTTTTCAGGAGAAATTTTTCCGGGGGAAAAAATCCAGTCGGCTTAGGAAGTGATTGCAGGGATTAAAAGCGTATTCTTCAATAATTCCAGGCGGAAACTCTCAATCCGTTCACCAATCCCATGGTGAATGGCCTCTTCCCGAACCTGAATGAAGACGGTACGACTGAAACGACAGGACTGTCGAATGGTGCTCTTAATGTTGCTGATGAAATGGCAGACTTGAGGAGACAAGTGATTTTCCTTCAGGGACAGTTAGAAGATAAGGACCGGACAATACAGCAGCTTCAGGTAAATCATGGCCCTAATCACTGAGATAATGAGCGAACATGAACATGCACTAATCATTAACTAGTTGATCCGAAGGTGATTGAAAAATTTATTAATTTTTTAATCCTATTTTTTCAGATGCAAGTTGCCAAACAACAAGAAATTATGAACAATTCAGACTCTCCGAGCTGTTCCTCATCGATGAATGGAAATAGCACTTTATCAAGAGATATTTGTAATGCCGCAACGCAAACAGAAAAGGTAAAATTGAGCAAGTTCAATGGTAAATTTGTGAGAGGAGCTCAATTCTCAAGTCTTATTGTTCACGAGCCCTGATTGAATCGCTGAGCACGAAATTTTCCAATTTTCAAGAAACTATTTAACTGTGCATTTGAACATTTTTTGAGTATTGATTTTATTTATCAGATTGATTGATTTTTTTCTCATCACCCGCGGGTGTCACATAATTTTTATTGGGTGTTTTTCTAATTATTGAAATAATATTAAAATGCGTTGCGAGTTGGTAAACCTGTCGAACGTTTTCTCCCAGTTTAAAAATCTGGATAAAAATTTCATCCACCAACCCACGTTTATTATTTAGAAATGGAGTGTACAAAATCCACCAAACGCATGCGCTAACATGCGCTTATATGGGATACAATCTTTCAAATATTTCCTCCTTTTCTCCGTGTACCCCAAATTTTTCTCTGGCCATTCGATTCAGTATAGTTTTGCACATTACCTTCTATTTTTATTTCTATTTTTAGAGTCTCCCAGTAGGAATTATAAATTTCAACATAAACCCCATAAGAGCCCGTGTATAAAGAAGAATTTGTTTATTCATTTCTGGCGAGACTATTGCCATTAATTTTTTTCAACATCAAAGAATTTAGTTTCATATGTTCTGCTATCAGCCAACAAAAATAATAGAATTTTCCTTGAACATGAAAATATAAAATTTGCTCAAAATGACAAAACATCCTTAATTTTCTACAAAAATCTGTAGTGAGATGTTCCTCTAAACCCTAATGTTTACGAGATATTAGAAAAATGATGTGCAGGAGACAATCCCTCTTATTTAAAATAAAATTGTTGAGGACTTGAAATTAGAGGAAGACGATGCAGATGATCTTGACATTTTTTTTTAGATTCGACCGATATCAGCGGGACCTTCTCTGCTCCAGTCACTCCCACAAGAAGGTGGCATGGGGCCTCTCGTTAGGTAAGAAACAATTATCAATGAATTCACAACAATAAACTCAATTCACACATTTAAATAAATTCATAAATTTCATCAAATCTTCATCGAAAACCTTTTTCTGCTGCCCTGGTGCCTCTCGTCGTCTCTGGTAACAATAAAAAAACAGCTTCAGGATTGGGAAGGTAGAGTGCGTGAGTCCATGTGAACTTGTAATGGGATATGTACTTTTGTGCGCCTTGAATTTCTTGATTTACGCCCATTTGCTTAATTTCAGAATTACTCCCACTCTAAATCGATAGTTCAGTCCTTTCCCAGAGTTGAGAGAGTCTAGAACAATTTATTGCTAAACAAATTCCTGTCGTGAAGGGATATCAACAGGCGAGCAGATGAATCCAGAACTAATCATTTAAGGCCCGGGTGTACTATTTTTCGAATGTTATCTGGATTTTTTTAATCTTTCGTAATCTAAAATTGTAAGTTGAGTGGTACATCATGTAGAAATTCCCAAAAATCATGATAGAATGATGAAAAAAAAATAGAAAACATTCAGAACTTTTTCAAAGAGCGTTTTTAATGGAGATTCAGAATGAGTTGAAAAAAGTGGAAATTACAAATATCTGATTCGCTGTGGCAAATTATCTATTAGCTGTCATTTTCCATGGTAGATAACAAAACACTAACTCCTCGTGGGAAGTGACAGCTAGTATCTCAATTTTCAAAACAGTGGTATGTAGTCATCTGCCATTTTTATGTGATAAAAGTGTGATTAAAAAATTCTCCAAAATATTACATCTTTTTTCAAAGAGCCTTTTCCGTAATAAATGTCTCTGTGCAGTGTGGGAAAAGATTTACGAAATCAGTCTTCCCCCTGCATGATATTGGGTGACAGGCCGCCATTTGTCACCGTAAATCAGATACATTTTTCAATTTCTTGTTATTCAACTTATTCTGAATATAAACTGAAGATGCTCTTTGAAAAAATTAAGAATTTTTTGTACTTTTTTTTTATTATTCATTCATAATTTTTCAAAACTGCTGCATGATGCAGGACTTAATTGACAATTTCAGATGATGAAAGATGAAAAAAAAACATGGAGATAACGTTCGAAAGATAGTACACCCGGGCCCTAAAGCCCGTCTCCATTATCTGCCGAACGTTATTTAAATTGATTTTTGTTCGATTTTTATCTCGAAATTTCAACTCGATGCCCCGTCACTCAGGGACACCCCCAAACTCTGAATTTAGATTTAAAAAAAAGTAAAAACAATCTCAACATTTTGAAAGAGGGTTTTTCATTAATATTGAGGAATGATTTCAATAGAGGAGACATGAGTAATGTATAATTACCATGGCAAATGGCGGCCCGCCAGTCGCCACCCTGGGGGAGGAAAGGCGAAATAATAAATCCTTTGGCACACCGCAACAAGACGATTGTACGAAAACAGGCTGTTTGAAAAAATTTGTAATATCTTGAAGAATTTTTTGATCACACTTTTACGATGAATTACTAATCACTTACGCCAATCTCCTCCATTGATAATTGTACTGGCGATCAGCTGTCACTTGTGCCGGGAATTTAAAACAGGAAAATCGCTCTTTCTTCCTTTCTTTGCGCCCCCGACAAAAGTGACGGTTGATGGACAGTACAATTTTCAATTGAGGAGATTGGTGTAAGTGATTAGTAGTTCATCGTAAAAGTGTGATAAAAAATTCTTAAAAATATTACAAAATTTTTCAAAGCGCCATTTTTTGTACAATCGTCTGGTTGCGCTGTGTCAAAGAATTTATTATTTCGGTTTTCCTCCCCCCCTGGTGGCGACTCACAGGTCGCCATTTGCCACGGTAATTATACATTATTCATATTTCCGCTATTGAACTCATTTCTCAGTATTAATTACAAACGCCCTTTCAAAATGTTCAGAATATTTTTACTTTTTTTTCAATCCAAATTCATAATTTTCGGGAATCTCTGAGTGACGAGACATCGAGTTGAAATTTCGAGATAAAAATCTAACAAAAAAGCAATCTAGATAACGTTCGGCCGATAATGGAGCCGGGCCTCAAAAACACTTATTACCTAGATAATTGCCTAGTTAACGAAGAAGAAATGCAAATTGTTTGAATAAAAAATTCAATCGTTACTTGTTAAACTATCTTCGTAATGAGTGGAGATACGAGAAAATATTGACAGACCTTTTTTGTAGGCAATTAAATTATCTACAGAAAAGGTATCTAGAGATTTTCTAAAATAGTTTCTATAGAATTTTTGGATTCGTTTCTGTTGAACCCTTTGCCACAGATTTGCATGTAAAACACTCCTGTAGACCCTTGAACAATTGACAAAATGAAACTAATAGGAGAGATTTGTTATTTTTGCTTCTAAGGACTGCAGAAGAATTGTAAATAAATTATCAAAGCATGGGGTGATAGTAGATAATTAATCGAAATGCATTGATTAATCAATCAATTTGAATTGCAACGAATCATTCATTACTAAAAAGAATTTGTGACGGTAATGGATTCACGATTAAAACATGTTTCATGCTGCGATGTTTAGCCCTGTGGGGTGAGTTCTTATTAATTAAGAGTGAACGTAGAATTAAATGAAGATCATAGCAAAGTGGTGAAGAGATCAGTCCCAAATTGATTGAACAAATATTTCAATCTCATTCTGTAACAATACTGCATTCTCGTATGTAATACTACAAGAGCTTCAAAATTATCAGGTATTTTCGATAGGTTCGTTTGGATGCAGGGAACGCACGGACGAAAAAATTTAATAGAAAAACCTATCGAATTCGTTAGAAAATTCTATTGAATATCTATTGAACTGTTCTATTAGTTTTTGGCCGATTCTATTGAAATGTTCAATAGAAAATATTCAGTAGAAAAAGTCAATAGAATTCAATTTTTCTGTATGAGGTATTCCATGCCAAATGAGTCAACCGTTAACCTTACCCTCTTGGAAATTGATGGCGATTTTTTCTACGATTGGGGAGGTTGAAAAACTATATCTCAAATTTATTCAGATTTTTTCGGCAGCCCAGTTCGGAGATATGATTTTTGTTTCGTTTTTCCGTTTTCGTTCAATAACTCGAGTTCTATCCATCCGATTTAGATTTATTAAGCGTCAAAATTTTTTCATTTTTTACTGCCTATAAGAATATTTTTAGTGTAATTTTTTATTCGATCTCTAGATGGGCATAATAACGACTTTTCGAATAAAAAAGTTGAAAAACTTGAATTTTGCAAATTCCGTCACGGATGATTTGTTTTATTTTTTTTCAGTAATTCTTATAATCAAAACAAGTATTTTGAGCCATCATACAAGTTGGGCATCATCCTGGATCTATTTTATTTTCAATTTTTTCGTTTCGAAATTCCGTGAAACATTCCGAAAAACGCCACACAAAACCCCACATGAAAAATATTCGTAAGGAAAATTAATTTCAATGAGAACAATTTGCTGAGAAACGATTAACGGGGAAAGAATCCGGGAATTTTTCAACGGGGCAGAAAACCCGGGGAAAAATTCTACATGGGAGAAATTCGTAAGGAAAATTAATCTCAATCAGAACAATTTGCTGCGAAAGAATTGACGGGGAAAAAAACTCCGGCCACTCCACACGGAGAGAATTTTTTTAGAAAAATTCTAGTGCTAGCACAGAAAAAGAGGCGCAAAGTGACGGCCAGGAAAAAATTCCAGTGCCGGCACTAGAAATTTTATTGGGGAAAACGTGAATTTTTCCCCGTATTTCTGTGAAAATTTCCCAGATATCCCCAGAAATTTTACCAGAAATACCAAGAAATTTTACCTTAACAACACTAGAATTTTTCATATTCGGTGAATTGTAACTTTTTCCAGTACACGAACTAGAATTTTTCTCGAAAATTTCTCTCCGTGCAATTAACGTTCATATGCTGAAAAAAGTCAAGGTGGCTGAATTGGCATGGAATGTCTCATACTCGAAAAAACATCTACCACTTTGCTACAAACATCGAGAAACCGGCGAATCATTAAAATAAAAATTGACAATAAATTTTGGTTACAGTTGGAGTGACTCGTGGAGCCATCAGAGTGCATCACAACGTCCACCATCGCTGGTGGAGCTCAGCAGCAGCAAGGCTCCCCGTAAAATAACCGAACGTCCATCAAAAATATTAAAACCCAAACAAGAGATAACGAGTCGATTGAATGGTGACGTCAAAGTGGAGAATACAAAATCTTGCATTCCATCGTTTAAAAAATTCCCCACCACTTTTATACCGAGAGCCAATGGCCGATTGCACAATTCGTAACGATTGAATTAATTTTCGATTAGTTCATTGCAATTTAATCTGTAAATTTTGGTAAATTTCTTGCTTGATTAATTGATTACTGATGGAGTTGGAGATGATCGATTCATTTGTAAATACCGAAATTTTTTAATTGATTAAATATTCTCTTAGGGATATTAATTTAGTCAATTAATTAATTCACCTTGCAGTATTAGTACTAATTTTATTGCTGTAAATATAGATTTTTTTCTTGGTTAATTGAGTTCTATAGAGGGGATAGTGAGATTGTAGAGTTTATAGGAATTTTTTATTCCTCAAAGTCTTGTGCAATAATATTTTCGATAATCTGTTGGTTCTTTTAACAATTAAAATTATGTGTAATTGATTTTTTTAAGTGGGAAGTTCGAACTGATTATTATGCAAATTTCTCGAACACTAGTCGATTTAGCGGAAACTTTCAAAAATGTTGTTTTTTTGTCAAGTTTAAATTTCTTAAAAAATGTATTGACATTTTCCTCTAAACCACTTCCTTCCGAAGAAATTTGCAACGTAATTTGCTTCACAACTAAACTAATGAATCAATCGAATTAGTGGCCTAATGAATTTTAAAACCAATCAATGGAATTCATAAATTATCTGTTTCTTTATCAACTGTTAATCGCGTCTCTCTATGATCTTACTATCCAGGGAAAAAAATTATTTAATTTCGTAAAACCGAAGTCATTGGCATTTTTTGGTGGATGAAAATTGTAACTAAATGGAATAACACATTACGAATGGGGTTATATATCATGAATTCTCCTTATTCCATTTAACTATAATAAAAAACAAAATGTTGGTTTTTGTACGAAGAAAAAAATAATTACGATAGCTGAGAATAGTGAGACTAGTGCAATGCTTGAAATAATGAAAAACAATAAATAAAAGAAATGACTGAGTAAGTAACATGAGGTGATATGTTGACGACATTTGTAGATCAATGCATGTGAAATGCGGAAATGCTTCGATACGTGAATTTTTGAGAAATGATAATTTTAAAGATTAGGGTCCACTTCTGAAAAATTTCGTCAAAAACACTTCGTCAAAACAACTTGAACAATTGAAACTCTGAAAAACGTGAAAAACAATTTGAAAAAATCCAGGAAAATAATGCAAAAAACACAAGAATAGAGCATTAACAACGCTTCGATGAATACCCACGAACGACAATAACAAATTTAAAGAAAAACACGAAGCACAATATTAAATTTGCAAGCATCGTCTCCAGATTAAACAACATTGAGTCTCAATAACAAGGGATTTGACATAAATTCATATGTATGACGAGATAAACAACAACTATTCATATCTACAACACTACAAAATCTAACAAATAATCAGTCATTTAAAGCAGAACATTCGAAGAAATCGCTCGCAAATACTTCCGAGCAGTTCCCCCTCTCCAGAAAATACCATTTCAATTAAATAAATCAGAGGTCGATTATTCTTTTCACAAGGAACCAAAATAAAACAGATAACAAAACTCTAGAATCCCATACACAAACACAGATTGTTATTATATTCTTACAAAAGACAAGATAACCGAAAGGTTTCATTGACGAAAGTTCAATTTGACAAAAGTTGAATTAACCAAAGTCGATTTAAGGACCGGGTGTACTATCTTTCGAATGTTATCTGGATTTTTTTTTATCTTTCGTAATCCCAAATTGTCATTTGAGTGGTATATCATGTAGAAATTCCCAAAAATTAGGATAGAATGATAGAAAAAAAAAGAAAAATCCTGAACTTTTTCAAGAGCGTTTTTAATTGAGATTCAGAATGAGTTGAAAAAAGTGCAAATTCCAAATATCTGATTCGCTGTTGCAAATTATCTATTAGCTGTCATTTTCCATGGTGGATAACAAAACACTAACTCCTCATGGGAAGTGACAGCTAGGTATCTCAATTTTCAAAACAGTGGTATGTAGTCATCTGCCGTTTTTATACGATAAATATGATTAAAAAATTCTCCAAAATATTACAACTTTTTTCAAAGAACCTTTTCCGTAATAAATGTCTATGTACAGCGTGGGAAAAGATTTACGAAATCAGTCTTCCCCCTGCATGATATTGGGTGACAGGCCGCCATTTGTCACCGTAAATCAGATACATTTTTCAATTTCTTGTTATTCAACTTATTCTGAATATAAATTGAAAATGCTCTTTGAAAAAATTAAGAATTTCTTTTACTTTTTTTTGATTGTTCATTCATAATTTTTCAAAACTTCTGCATGATGCAGGACTCAATTGACAATTTCAGATGATGAAAGATGAAAAAAAAACATCGAGATAACGTTCGAAGGATAGTACACCCGGGCCTTAACCAGTTGTTTTTGACAAAGTTTTTTCGACAAAGTTTTTTAGATATGATCCCATCTCTGAAAGTAGTAGGTTTAGACGAAAGAGTCATGAGTCTTTATTTTGTGGAGAATTGAATTTCTTAAGAGGTTCTCTTAAATTTTTTCAATGAATCCACTTGTTATCGAGCTAATTGAAAAATCAACATTTGTGATCTTGAATCAATTACTTTTGATACATGTTTGTTAATCAGTTAATTATCTCGGGAATGAGTGGGTTAGAGAGAAAATATTAAAAGTTATTATTTTGAAGAGTTAAATTCCCCACAAAAAATGTCTTTTGCTCTCTAAATCCACTTCATCAGAAATGTCTTCAAAATGATCTCAGTCCCTTCTGAAAACAAAAATTTCAATCTTCTCAACGGCTTGAACATCTTTCCATCTTCAAAAAAAAAAAGAAACTACTTAAAACCTTCTATGAATCCCTTCAATTCCTCCCCCTCCCTGATCCACAAAAAATCACGTGAATAAAATCAACAAATCATCAAAAATACGAAAATAAAATCCAATTGTCATCAAATGTATCAAAAACTTATTCAAAAAATCATCAATTTACTCTTACCATCGATGAGAAAAATGTAGCTGCGATCACAGTGTCACTCGACACTTGAAAATCCCCAAAACAAAAAAACTCAATAAATTTTTCTGCCAAAACTGAATGTTGTGTCAAACTAATTAACTCTTTTATTCGCCCACTACTCTCGTACAATTGTTCCTTAATTCCTCTTTTAAATTGATCCTCGATTATTATTCAATTATAAATAGTAATTCATGAATTATTTAAAAATTCTTTTGGTTTCACTTGAAAAAATGAAAAATTAATTTCCATTTTCCTGGTTAATTAATTAATGTTTCTTCATACGAGTCTAATGAGGAAAAGAACAAGGGAGAATCCCACATTCGGCCCTTCATTAATGCTTTCCAAGCCAACAATTATCTATTTTTCCGCTCATTAAAAAATCGATTTAATGACGTCTGGTGCTTTGAAACTGGTGATGTGTTCGATAAATAAAAAATTAGGCGATTTTTCTATTCAATTGACAAATTTTTACAATTTTTTTTATTTTTTTCCCTTCTGTTTTTGTAATTGAAAGGAACCAGGACATGAATTATTTCTTCCATTCGTTTTTTTCTTATTAATTGATTCATCATGATTGGGTTAAGGGGAGGGGGAAATAGCGCTATAGACGCAGTGAAAATTGCAAATTCATTGAAATTAAATTATTCAGTTGCTGAAGCTCAATAATTTTTTGTAAATAAATTGTGTAGAATTCATCTCCTGGAGTCTTTCAATCACAAAATTGATGAGCAATTCAGTTAGTTCAATTAATTTGCTTAATTATTACAATATATTCAATTAGAAAATTATTAATTTGTGGTTTAATTGATTCACACTGTGTTCACGCCGAATATCAAAGGACTGAAAAAACTTCTGCTCAGCATACATAACTTTTTTTGTGATTAAAATAATTTTTATCGTAATTAATTCGATGAAATTACGAAAAGAGACAAGTTAAAGAAATTAATGCACTCAATTTTGTGAATATTTCACAAGCTGTTGGATTGAGAGAAAAATGTAAAAAGAAATTTTTTGCAGAAAATTGAATTTTCTTTGAACGAGTCTTTCGACATTTTTCTTTCCAATCCATTAGATTCTGAGATATTCACATAAAAAGAAATTTTTTGCTGTGAAGGGCTAGGAGAATCGCGAAAATTCCCATCAACATTGACAGATTATTATGCACAATTAACTCACTAAAAAGTAAACAGCGATGAGGGTGTGATCACGACATTATGGCGGTTTTCAATGTTTTTCAATACAAATAAATAAAGGTTTTCGTCAATTAATTACTTCTTCTCCTTATCCACATCCATTGGTTCTTTTTTCACAGAGGATTTACTCTCGTGCTTTTTATCTTTGTCCTCGAGCTCCTTTTTAACTGAACTCCTGCTGTCGCTCCACCTCGTGTCACTCTTTGATTTAGATTCACTCTGGGATCCATTGATCTCGCTCGATGATTTTTCGTCCTGGATCTCAACAATTTCGACTTTTTTACTATCACTCTGCATCACTTTCGATGTCGTGTGGTATACGTTCTTTATTGCACTCAGGTACGTATAGCATTCAGACTGCAAAAGAATAAAAACCAAAATTTTTAGTAAATGTGTTGGATTTTAGGGCTTTAAGTCCTCAAAAATTCAACTATTCCCTATTTAAGGTGTTTCGTCTGTAGATCACCGGGGGGTGAAATGGAAGGGGAGTCTTATTGTTCTCGAGCCCTGATTGAATCGCTGAGCACGAAATTTTCCAATTTTCAAGTAACTATTTAAGTGTGCATTTGAGCATTTTTTGAATACTGATTTTATTCATCAGATTGATTGATTTTTTTCTCATCACCTACGGGTGTTAAATTATTTTTATTGGATGTTTTTCCAATTATTGAAATAATATTAAAATGCGTCACGAGTTGGTAAACCTGTCGAGTGTTTTCTCTCCCTGAAAAAAATTTGAAACTTATACGTGTTCTCAAGAAAGATTTGATTTATCACCCACTAGTTTTTCCTTAATAGTTCACCGAATATCAGATCCATTTTTCAATTTCTTGTTATTCAACTTATTCTGAATATAAATTGAAAATGCTGTTTGAAAAAATTAATTAACAATTTCTTCTACTTTTTTTTGATTATTCCTTCATAATTTTTCAAAGCTTCTGCATAAGAAGTTAATGACAGGACTCAATTGACAATTTCAGACGACGATACTACACCCGGGCCTTAAAATTTAAAATTTTAAAATTATGATTGTACAATTAAAAGAAGCAGAAAAAAAATGAACATTTTCAAGGAGCGTTTTTAATAATGACTAAGAAATAAGTCCGATAGAGAAGAAATAGTGAATGGATAATTTTGATTTTAATTATAAAAAACAATTTTTTTGATTGTTCAGTCATAATTTTTGGAGACTCCGGGGCTATGTAAAATTGAATAGCAATTGAAGATCATTTCAGATTATCAAAATAAAAAAAAACAGCCAAGATCACGTTCGAAAGATAATCCACCCGGGCCTTAAAGGAATCTAATTGTGAAGACGGAAATGGAAAAAAATAAAATAAAATGTATTAATCTACACACATCCACCCGTACGTACGTTTTTGATCATAATGGGTAGATATACCACAAAAAATCCAAAACTTGAATTTTCTGAGAGCAAAAAAACCGTTTAAAAAACTCACCGACGTCTTCTTCAGTTTCTCTTCCACACTCCTCAACTTGTCCTTGTACCCCTTGAGATCGTCTCCCAGATCCCTGATGACCGTGCCTTGTCTATGCGCCTTTTCACTGACACTTGCCAATTCATGTTGAATCTCCCCCATTCTCGCCTCAGTGTCCACTCTGGCCTTCTCGCTGCGCTTCAGCTGACTCACCAGCTTCTCTACATCGAGAAGGCTCCCCTTGAACATGACGAATCCCTCTGGTACCGACTCCTCGCCTTCCCCTTGGTTCTCTCCCCTGGCTCTCTTCGATGGCACCTGTCCACTGACGAAGACAGGCAAGAGTTTCTTGTTCCCCAGGGCCAAGGACTTCAACTCTTCTTCGTCCTCCACCTCCTCGTGGCCCTCATCCGCCGCCTCCTTCTCCTCCTTCGATTTCTCTTTGTCCTTGTCCTCATCCTCTTTAGACCGATCAGTCAATTTTCTGTAGTGAAGAGAATCTCTCGTGACGACTTTTTGGACTAGTTTTCTCACCTGATAAAATAAAGGAATGTAAATGTTAGATTTGTTGAACTTCAATCAAAATATGAATTTAAGGATGTTTATCCAGAATCGCAAGTACTTGAAAAAATTGATTTTTTTTTAAACTGAGAGATGAAGATATTCCATTCACTCTGATACAAATTTCGATCCACCAACCCATATTTATTATTTAGATATGAAATAGACAAAATGCAGCAAATGCATGCGCTAACATGCGGTTATATCGGATAGAATCATTCAAATATTTCGTCTCTTTGCCTGGGTAGGGCCAGACCAATTGCTGGACGGTTAAAGGAAATTCGAGTTTCGTGGTAAAATCTACAATAAAAGAATCACCTTGGGGGTATGATGGCTTCCATACCTTCAAGAATGTTTTAATTAGCAGAGAAAAACAGTTTAAAGTGAAAATAACAAAACAAAGAATAATTAAATTGAGAAATAGTTGAATGTAGCCGAAGCCCCCAATTTCTGGACGACTGGGTCATATTTTTTTTCATTTATTAAATGTTGATCAATCGAAGAAAATAATTGATCACATGATTATACACAAGGGATATTATAGAGAGGTGAAATAGTTAATACAATTTTCATTTTATTTGTGGAATATTCAATGCAAGTTGAAATCGTCCAGAAGCTAACCCCCGTCCAGAAATTAACCTGTTTACCCTACTTAAATATCATTAATTCAAATTTTCAACTATTTTATCAATCAATAATCGAGGTAGAAAGATTGATGATTACTTGTGTAATCGAAAATTCCCTTTCAAGAAATTTGAATTATTCATTTAGTAGTAAATTTACAGTTTCATATTAACAAATTTTAAATATATCATTATTCGTAAAAAATTAGATTATTAATATTATATTATTTGGAAAATTGAATCAATATATTTTAAACCTTCAATAATGTTAGGGTCAAATCCTTGTAATATTACAAAAATTTAAGGCCCGGCTGTACTATCTTTCGAATGTTATCTGGATTTTTGTTATATTACGTAATCCAAAATTATCAATTGAATGGTACATCATGTAGAAATTCGCAAAAATTATGAGAGAATGATTTTTAAAAAATGGAAAAAATTCTGAACTTTTTCAAAGAGCGTTTTTAATTGAGATTCAGAATGAGTTGAAAAAAGTGGAAATTACTAATATCTGATTCGTTGTGGCAAATTATCTATTAGCTGTCATTTTTCATGGTGGATAACAAAACACTAACTCCTCGTGGGAAGTGACAGCTAGTATCTCAATTTTCAAAACAGTGGTATGTAGTCATCTGCCATTTTTATGTGATAAAAGTGTGATTAAAAAATTCTCCAAAATATTACAACTTTTTTCAAAGAGCCTTTTCCGTAATAAATGTCTCTGTGCAGTGTGGGAAAAGATTTACGAAATCAGTCTTCCCCCTGCATGATATTGGGTGACAGGCCGCCATTTGTCACCGTAAATCAGATACATTTTTCAATTTCTTGTTATTCAACTTATTCTGAATATAAAATAAAAATGCTCTTTGAAAAAATTAAGAATTTTTTCTACTTTTTTTTTTTTTTGATTATTCATTCATAATTTTCCAAAACTTCTAAATGATGCAGGACTTAATTGACAATTTCAGATGACGAAAGACGAAAAAAAACATCGAGATAACGTACAAAAGATAGAACACTCGGGCCTTAATATTGATGGGGATCCCTGATTATATGTGGGCGTCCACATGAAAAGGGCCCACTTTGACGGTATTGGAGTTATTTATGTTCCGATAATCTTGATCAGATTTCTCACATTTTGAGCCCAAAATCAACCCGATAGAATGAAAACTGACGTCAGTATAGACGATCAAAAAAACAATTTAACATTGGTTTAAATGGGAGATGTGGAGAGAAAAATGTGAATATCTCGGAAACTAGATGCGACAAAGTGGGCCCTTTTCACGTGGACGTACACATATATTTGTCGTAGATCCTAATTCTCTGAAATCAAGAATTCTCACCTGTGCACGTGATAAATTCAGTCCCAAAGTGTAGATTAACTCCTCAATATCCTTATCAAAGATATAGCCACAGTGAGTCTGATCGAAATAAACGAAAGATAGTAGCAGATAAGGATCGTAGGTATAAAGCTTTGGCTTCTTCTTCTTCCCATCCTTCTCCTTCTCCCTCTTCCCATCCTTCACCGAGTCGTCGTCATCCGTCTCATCCTCATACTCGTCCTCATCCTCCTCGCGGTCCTTCTCGTCACTCTTTGTCGTTTTCTCCTTCTCCTTCTCGTCCTTGTTCTTATCCTTACTCGTCTCTCGTTTCCTCTCGTCTTTCTTCGAATTCTTCGACTTCTTGTCGTCCTCGTCCTTCCGTTTCTTGTCCTCTGGGTTTTTATCCTCACGAGGCTTCTCCTCCTTCTTCGGCTTCTTCGGGTCCTCTTCCTTCTCTTTAGATTTTTCTGGCAGTGAGCAGAGGGATCGGTATATCCTGAAGCCAAAGTCACGCATCAGCATCTCGTTGAAGAGCTCGGCAAACAGCGAGACTTCGAAGGAGTGCTCTTTAGTGTCTTCTGGGCGGTAATCCAGAAGGACTGAGAGAGACATTACTGTGCAGTCGAATTTTCCAGACTTTGCGATGCGCGAGGGATGGACAATTATGTGGGGCGACTCGGGGAGAGTGTAACGTTTCTCCAGGAGAGCACGTTCACGCTCGGAATTCTTCTTCTTATCTTCGTCGTGCTAAAACGAATTTTGTTTAATTATTACGAAGGAAAGAACTGAGTAATTCAGAGAAATTAAATGATTGAGGAAAAATTTGGGGGATTTTAAGGAGGGACTAATTTTTGCGACAAAAATGTTTCATTCCGGCGCACTCTCTGCATGTTTGGCACAAAAAATCCTTTTTTGATAATTTTCAAAAAACTATTTTCTTGGTACAAGTAAGACTTGTTTGAGAACTTTGTCATTTTTCTCTCAGTGTAGTCAATAAATTGATTTGGCTCATGCCATATCTCATATCTTGTGTTGATCATTGAGTAACCAGTTCAAACCCACACTTCCCTCTCTCGCGACAATCCTGAGAATCAACAGAAGCTCAAGAGATTTCGAACAGTGATTGCTTGGGGGATATTTACATTATTGGAGTGCGATGTTTTTTTGTGTGAGGATTTACCTCTTTACTCTTCTTTTCTTCTTTAGTTTCCTCTTTCGGAGGCGGTGGTATCTCCTCCTCGTTATCTTCAGCCTCGTCCTGGCGGCCTTCCTCCTTAGCCTGCTCCGACTTTATTGCTTTTGTCAATCGAGCTGAGAGCTGGGATTTGAGGCCTTTGGAGCTTAGATTGCGCGCTGCTAATTCCTGGCGTAAATCATTCACCTGCAAATATATGCGTGGGAAGTTATGTTATTAGATAGTTTACGTAGGAAATGGATTTAACTTGGGACACTTGTCATCGACTCAAAATCCCAATATCTGTATTTATAAGGGAGAGTGGGGCAAAATGAAACGACTGTTTGACGCAATTCAAGCAAAAACATTTTTTTGTCAACTTTTTTTATTCTTGGGAGTACTGACGGGAATCATAATTTTCCATTCAGTAAAATGGAAAATTATTGAGAAGTTTTGATGGGCGAAGACGTTGTCAATGGATTATTCGAATGCAATTCAGAATCACTTTTCCTTTTTCCCCCTCTGAGTCTCCCCCTGGGCCTTGCTCTGGACTTTGGATGTTGCTGTTTCATTTTCTTTTCAATTAATCCATTCACAAAATTTTCGTTCGCTCCAATTTTTCAATGATTTTCAATTCTACTGAATGGAAAAAATTCAAAAAAAAATCAGGCAAATTCAGAAAAATCAGGAAAATTCAGAGAAAAATTGAAAATTCATGTCATTTTGTTTCTGAGTATTCATGTACCACTGAAAATTCAATCAAGTTGTGAAATTTCCATCTCAATCCCACTGAAAACTAATAAATTTACGGTACGTTACTTTTTGGCGCCGATTTTTTGACACATGAAAAAATTTCTTCAACAATTGAATCGCCATAGTAATAAAAAAATTAATTCTACAAAATTTGCAAATCTTGAATGGGTCAGCGTAACCAATTTTGCAAATTGATAGTGTTCCAAGACTGTGATGGAATTTTTAGGAATGTAATTACTTGTAAAACAATAGTATTCCGTGAATTGAATTATTGTTATCTGTTGCGTGAAATGAATAAGAAAATAGGAAGTATAAATTCGATAGAAAAAATCAATCAAAAAATTTGTAAATTGATAGCGCTCCGTGACTTAAAATATTATCTGTTGTGTCGGATGAATGTAAAAAAAAATGAATTTGATAGAGAAAAAAATTGATGCAATATTTTGTTGAAACTTTTAACCAATCGCGTCTCCGAGAAAATACACGAGTGAATAAATATAGGTGTATATATTGAAATAATAACTTTTTTCAGTAAAATATAAAAATGTGTTTTTTTCGAAAGACATTCAAGTTTCGTTATTGATGACACAAGGCGCCAAAAAATCGACGCCAAAAAGTCCTGTTCCGAGGAAAGACGGTTCGTCACAACCATTTTCGTAGGAAATAGCATCCTCAGCAAAAAATGTCTCGAGAAATTTCCCTTGAAAGCATTAATTGTCGAGATAATTCCCCAATGCTAATCATCAATTGTAATTAATTAAACAACTCACATTCATCGACTTGGGATCCAATTCCGAATAATGCGTGGGGTCTTTCTTCTCCGGAGTTGTATCATCCTGAAACCAGAAAGTTCCCCATCAACCAACGATTCGAAAATAAAAAAACAACAAATCCAACTTAAAAAAAAATGAAATAAATAAACTACAAACAATAAAGCAGCCCCTAAAACCAATGTTTTCGCTCCACTCTCTCCCCCACAATCAACAAAATGTATCATTCACTCATTTCTTCCATAAAATACGAATAAACAATTAATACGAATGAAAAGTATCTCCCAGACTCTCTCTCATATCTCATAGTGTCCTGGTCTCTGGTGTCGGTGTGGTTTCATAAATTATCATATCAACAAACGCAGAATGTAAAAAACGACAGTGGTTATGAGATTATCAATTCGATAAAAAAAGGGAAAAAATGATTTTTTTTTCAATTATAAAAATCATTTTGACTAGGGTGAATGAGAAAAAGTAACAGAAGATGAATATTTTTCTTGATTAACGAGGGATCATCATCTTTCCACATTTACCTGTTGATTTTAACAGCTAAAACTTCTAAATCATCAATTTGATAATATGAATTTGAGAAAAATTCCGTTTTAAAGACGTTTAAACTAAAAAAAGGATATTTTGCATTTGCATGAGATTTATAAAGTTCATTTGAATACAACACGATTAAAATTCAACATTTTAATGAATATTAATTGTTACAATTCGTCAAATAGAATATCAATTAATAATTTAGAATTACGGGAATTTGAATTTGAAACAGTTGATAAGAATTTAATTATTTGAAGTGAATAAATAAATTTGATAAACCTTTTATTCGAGACTGCTGATTTTTTAAAAACATTGATCCGTAATATCTCCAATAATTTAAATATATTTCATCATGAAAAAATCGAAAAAATCAACAGGTAAATACCCCCTACTCCATCGCCTTTAAATCACGAAAAAAAGTTGACAATGAGAAACAATAAAATGAAAAGAAGAAAGAAAACTTCAACGAAGAGAATGAGAATAAGTGATTAATTTTAAAAAATGGGAGGAATGGAAATGGTTTTTTTGTGGGCCAGTGCCTTTTGATCAGCGACGGCAGCATCATCATTCTCTCCAGCCACTTCCATCTCCCCATCGCCCCCAGCGCCCATCAGCTTCCTATCCAGTTGTCTCTTATAGCTCAGATGAAGTGTATCCCATTCCAGTTTGGTTGATACACAGCTCCAAACATCTGGGAGAAATAGTATGACCGTTTCAACGCGCGATGCCACAACTCTTCCCGACTTGTGGGTAGTCTCTGCACGCCTGTAGTAGAGCTCCAGGAAGCGATACCTGTTTTGCAATGCAAAAAAAAACGAAAACAATATTCGAAAAGAAAAACGTCAAAATGCGGTTTATCACTTTCGATAGATTTAAGTGTTGCTTTTTTTTTTATTTTATCAGGCTATTTAATATTGAGTTGATTGGTCCAGGGTTACGATTGCGTTTTTAGATTTTTGGTGACTCGAGCCCAATGAACTGCGACAGAAGGAAATCGTTAAATTGTGTTAGACTAGAAATTTTGGAAAATAGGGAATTTGGTGATGACTCCTTTTTCTGCGGGCTGGCTCTCGAGGGTTGTTTGTGCGGGGTAACTATTATATGAGGATTATTGAGGTACAAACCTGGTTTCGATGCTATCATTGTGGTTTTTAGGAGATTCAAGACATTTTTAGTGCGGAAATATTGTTTATCTGGAGGTTTTTTCAAATCATCTTCGAAATGAGTGGCTTCAAAGGGAAATGTCAGAGGATATTTTTTGGAGAGGACAATTTCTACAAAATGTCTTGCAATATTTTCTCTTCAAGACGCTCGTGACTTAATTAACCTCATAGAAACGAAATAAAAAATGTTGAATTCCTGTGAATTTTACAATCATTCGAAAAAAAAGTCGTTTTAGAGGAAAAAGTCGTAAAGTATCAAATTTTCTCGCATAAATGTATATTCACATGTTCCCCTAGAACCACTCATTACTAAAATAATCATCAACATTTGAAAAAAAAACACAGAAAACAAGGAAATGAATACAGAAAAAAACTGCCTTCTCTTCGCTTAAAGATGTTTGCCCAGAACAGCAAGCACTCAAAAATCTTTTGAGTTTTTTCAACTGTTAGACAGATTTATCTTTCTCCTGTTGATAAAAATTTAAATCCGCCAATCCAAATTGATCATTGAAGAGTAAAGGAGATAAAATACACTGAATGCAGGTATTAGCATGAGGCCGTCGGGCTTAAAGTTCTGAATATCTGCATTATTTGTCTGCGTAGCCCAGGTTTTCCCTTGGCCATTGGATTCCGTATAGGATAGATTCTTCCTGAATCCAGCCACCTATTTTTTTCAAGGTCTCCAAAAAATTTGAAAAAAATCAGTGGTTTAACATTCATCAAAAGTACTCTCTGTGAATTTTTTCAGATTTTTTGAAGCATCCGTGATGGAAATAAGTGGATCTGAACCAATTTCGAAAAAATTGATATCGGGAGTAGTTGACCTCCGAGAAAAAAAGTTTGGCATAAAAAATATAGGTTTTTATCGGAATTTTTAAAATAATTTTTTTATTGCAGGAAAAAAGGGATATAGAGCGTTTAAACTCTAGAATTAGGTAGAAAATTCCATTTTTACGCATTCCGACATTTTTGTTTTTCTTTAAAAAAGTTGAGATATGATGATTCACATTCAATGTTTGTCAATGAAAATGGAAATGGGACGGGTGTAAGCTTCGGAGAAAAAAAATAATCATTGGTAGTTTTTGAATTCGTTATCAATACTCACATCTTGGCTCAATCGTTAATGTCACCCAAAGGCATAAAAAAAAATTCAAATTTTTTCCTCTAATTGTTCTCGAGGAAAAGAATCAAACTTCGATTTGAAAGCTTCTAACTCTCATATGGACCGGTTGGCGGGAGGAATTTGAATTTTTTTGTGACTGTATAATATCCAAGACTGAGCCAAAATGTTAGTACTGATGACAAAGTCGAAAATTACCCAACATGATTTTTTTTCTCCGAAGCTTACGTCCATCCCATTCCTAATTTAATTTTTTAATTTTTAACGAAATTTATTGTAAGAAAAATACACAAAAAATAAATCTCTTACAATAGGCCATCGCCCGAGGGCCTTCATCCAAGTATTTACATATGGGCATAAGTTTCCGTTCTATTTTTGATGGTGTCGTTGGAGTCCAATGAGGTGAAAATGATCCATTAATTGTACGAGTTCCCATTCCTATTTTTATTGATAAATGTTGAATTTGCATCACCATATTACCTCAATTCTGTTTAAGAAAAACAAAAATGTCGAAATGCGTAAAAATTGAATTTTTAAGATATTTTTAAAGTTTAAGGATGTATTGCACCCTTTTCGCCAAAATTCACGTTTTTTGAATTTTTCCGGTAAATTGTTGATCGGATTGATGTGAAAAAATATACCGTTTGTGCGCTTTATCATTACTTAATGACTCACGAAATTTCATGATCGTGCAATCATTTTCCTGCGTTTTTTCTAAAACTTTTCGGAAATTCACAAAACTTTGGAAAAATTGTAGGAAAATGATTGTACTGCCATGAAACTTCGTGAGTCAATCAATAATGATAAAACGCAAAAACGGTATATTATTTCGCGTCAATCCGATCAATAATTTGCCAAGAAAATGAAAAAAACCTGCATTTTGACCGAAAGGGTGTAGTACATCCTTAAGGTGTTTCTCATGAAAAGTCAAAAAAATGAAAAAAAATTAGAAAATTCACGAGAGAAAATTCTGAGTATGCTGCATCATTAAGAATTCTTGCACATTTTTTTCGGGTCTCAGTATCAAGAAAAAAAATGATGAAATTTGGATGTTTTTGTAACCCCTCCAGCTATAACCTCCGAGGTTACCCCACTCTCAATTAGGGAAATTTCCATGGCACCCAAAAAAATAATGAACTATTGAGGAAAAACTAGTGGGTGATAAATTAAATCTTTCTTGAGAACACGTATAAGTTTCAGATTTTTTTCAGATTTCATAAGAAAATTATTTGAACAAATGATTCGGAAAATTATGAGCTTTGGGGTAATTACGCCTTCACGCGCAGGCGCGTGATTTGAATGTCAGTGAGCATCATGGGAAAGGTATGGGTTGGACCATGGAACTGAGAGAGAGAAAACACTCGACAGGTTTACCAACTCGAGACGCATTTTAATATTATTTCAATAATTAGAAAAACATCCAATAAAAATTATTTGACACCCGTAGGTGATGAGAAAAAAATAAATTAATCTGATGAATAAAATCAATATTCAAAAAATGTTCAAAAGCACTTAAATAGTCACTTGAAAACTGAAAAATGTTGTGCTCAACGATTGAATCAGAGCTCGAGAACAATAAGACTCCCCTTAAACTCTCCACACTCCCTTTTTTCTACAATAAAAAAATTATTTGAAAAACTCACGTAATAACTTATATTTTTTATTCCAAACGTTTTGTTCTCTGAGATCAACTTCTCCTGATATCTATTGTTATTCGAAATTCCTTCAGATCCACTTATCTCGATCACGAATGCTTAAAAAAATCTGAAAAAATTCACAGAGAGTATTTTTGATGAGTCTTAACCCTCTGATTTTTTTCAGATTTTTGGAGACCTTGGAAAAAATCGGTGGCTGCATTGAGGAAGATTCATTTTTTACAGTCTTTCAGTACGTGAATTATCAATTTGAAAATAAAAGAAATTGTACATTTCGTGTCGTCAAAGTTACGACGACAAATTCTTCTCAATTATCAGAAATGTCGGTCTCACATGTTCCCATATCAGTCTAAAAATTACAGAATCGTTCTCGAACATCAAGAAATTCGATTTCCAGAAAATATGTGAACATCTTTAGTTCGCTCAGGATTGAATCTCTTAGAATTCGTCAAAATTTATTGAGGAGAGAACATCATATGCGTTTGTTGTTCCAGGCAGCTGAACTCCTCGAATTTTCTTGAGGAAGTGTAAGTAATTGTAGAGATTTTAATTCTTCCGGCAAAAATCCTTTTCATTGTTTTTGTCTTACCATTGGGTGCAGTGGGACAGATCGATTCCAGTGAGTGCCTTGCAGGTTCTGACGGCTGTCCTGATGAGTACTGAGGGGTCGCTCTCTGGGTTGGGGCCGTCCAATGAGGGGCTCCAGGGGCCTCCAATGGCCATGGTCTCGTTTTTTCCTCGTAAACCCACGAGGAAGTTTATCAGTCGAGTTGGGTGTACGTAGTCCCTGTCGGGGTCTCGATCCTCTGTTACTCCACAGCAGCGTTTGTAGATTTCTTCCATCGCTGGCATTGACATGAGCATCACCTGTGGAATGGAGAAATTTACAGTGAGACAAATTTGTTGGAGATCTCTCGGGACGTTATTATTACTAAATTTGTATTATTACTCCAATTCTCCATTTCAGATATTTATTCTATTCATTCCATGAAACAAAGCTAGAAATCGAATTTAAGGGTATTCTTCCATTATTTTAAAAAAATATATCGATTTTAAAATTTTCTGGAGACATTGAAAAAAGTAATTTTTTTAGTTCTCCCCGCCCACTTTTTTTGCATTTTTTGAATTTCTTCTCGCTGAAATATTGATATTCCTCCAATGCTTGAAGAAAAAAAGCGGAATTGACATTGTACACATTTTTTCGCAAATTTTGAAAAAATTAAACCTCCAATTCTCAATTTCTGTTATTTATTCTATTCATTCCATGAAACGACAAGGCTAGAAATCGAATTTAGGGATATTTTTCCATTATTAAAAAAAAATATATCGATTGTAAAACCTTCCGGAGACATTGAAAAAATGAATTTTTTTAGGTCTTATCGTTCACTTTTCTTTGCATAGTTTGAATTTCTGCTCGTTGAAATATTGATAGTCCTCTAATACTTGAAGAAAAAAAGCGAAATTGTCATTGTACACATTTTTTCGTAAAATTTGAAAAAAATAAACCTCTGTAGCTCAAAAATTGGAGACTCTGGACTATTTTTAACGTTTTCAGCGTCTGCGGGGCGAACGAATAACGAACAATGCATAATTCATTTTTTTGCATTAAAAATGAATAATTAGTGCAAAAAAATTAATTATTCATTTTTAGACATATATAATCAATCTTCAATGTCTCATACATTCCAATATCCCGCAACTTTTAAAACTCACAGTCAGGGATCCCCATCAATATTAAATATAATATAATATTAATAATCTGATTTTTTACCATTAATGATATATTTAAAATTTGTTAATATGAAACTGCAAATTTGTAACTAAATGAATAATTCAAATTTCTTGAAAGGGGATTTTTCGATTACACAAGTAATCGTCAATCTTCCTACCTCAAATTATTGATTGATAAAATAGTTAAAAATTTGAATATTTGAATTGATGATACTTAAGTACCCAACAAATTTCAATAGTGATGTTATCTAATTAAGGGCTACAATATTAACCGTAATAAAATATTACAAATTTGGCTATCCCTGCTCACAGTACACTGAGAGAAAAACAAACACGTTGTCAAACAAGTCTTGTTTGGGCCAACAAAATCGCTAGTTGAAAAGTGCCAAAAAATAATTTGTTTGGTTCAAATTGAAAAGTCTCAAACATGAATAATTGCTCTGCTTTCGACAGCAACGAAATATTTGGCTCAAGAGGCGAATAATTCACACCAGACGGTGTCTTTTCAGGATGAAAATATCTCATATAGAGGAAAATTTATCAACAAATATTTTACCCCTAAGTTACAAGATTGCTATCATATCATTATTATTGTTTCATTTAAGGGTTCATTTCTTGTCTGTGATTATTAGACAGTCGAAACGAAAAACTACTATCCCTTGTTTCACATAAAACAAAGATTTTTCGGGAGCAAAATACGTATGGGAGTATCGAATAACGGAGTAGTGCTAGAAATGACATTCTTGCGTTTACAGAGAAAGCATTTTTTTTGAACTACTAAATCTACTTTTGCAACAAAAATATTTCATTCCGGCGCACTCTCTGCATGTTTGGCACAAAAAAATCTTTTTTTGATAATTTTCAAAAAACTATTTTTTTTGCATAAGTAAGACTTGTTTGAGAACTTCGTCGTCGTTCTCTCAGTGTAGTCTTCCCTTAAGCATATTAAAAAAATCTAACAAACCTTAGCAGAGAACAAATAATCAGCATCAGGAGGCTCCAGCACAGCTGAATTCTCGACGACCCCATCGACATCCTTGTGCATCACATGAAAGCTGCATGGTTTATTCAAAGTGAACGGCATATGGGGTGGAAAGGCGTCGACCCACCTGAAGTTCGTCGAGAAGAAATCACTGGGAATGTACATGTTCTGGTATCGTCTCCTGATCTCGAGGACATCAGCCTCTGGGAGATCGAGCGCAATCTTTGGTATCTGCACCATGTAACGAGGCACCACTCGAGTTCGTCGTCTGGGCCTCGGAGACTTGCTCCTCCTGGTTCTGGAGGGGCTCCTCTCCTCCTTCTTCTCCCTCTCCCTGATTCTCTCCTCCCTCCTGCGCTTCCTCTCTACCTCTTCGTCGTCATTCCTCCGCTCTCGTGATCTCTCCCTGACTCTCGCTGGTTTATTTCGATTACTCGTCGTCGAGGTTGAATTATTACTTGAAAATCTACTGCTATTCGTATTGTCATTGGGGGGTGGCACTGCGTTGTAGGTGCCTGAGGGACGACTCGATTGGGGTTGGCGATTTTGCTGGGGATTCTGGGGGGCTGGAGTGCTCACAGAATTCGAGGAAGAGTTGGAGTTCCCTGTCATTGGGAGGACCTGGATGCGCGTTGCGTTCCACTTAAAGGGCATCGAGGGGTTGAATGATGCTTCCACCAGAACTCTATCGCCGATTATTGGATTGGAGCCCTTCACACATGCACTAGAATAATGATAATCATAAAATACTCAAGTTTTCATTCAATCAATTTTTGATTGAGGATAATCGGGCGAGGGGTAGGATATTAAAAAAATGCAACCAATTTTATGAAGACTTTTTCACACATTATTGAATGCATTTAGACACAGTTTGCAAAATTTGAGATAAAATAGCTGATTCGCTGTGGCAAATTATCTATTAGCTGTCATTTTCCATGGTGGATAACAAAACACTAACTCCTCATGGGAGGTGACAGCTAGGTATCTCAATTTTCAAAACAGTGGTATGTAGCCATCTGCCATTTTTATCTGATAAAAGTGATTAAAAAATTCTCCAAAATATTACAACTTTCTTCAAAGAGCCTTTTCCGTAATAAACGTCTCTGTGCAGTGTGGGAAAAGATTTACGAAATCAGTCTTCCCCCTGCATGATGTTGGGTGACAGGCCGCCATTTGTCACCGTAAATCAGATACATTTTTCAATTTCTTGTTATTCAACTTATTCTGGATACAAATTAAAAATGCTCTTCGAAAAAATTGAGAATTTTTTCTACTTTTTTTTTATTATTCATTGATAATTTTTCAAAACTTCTGCATGATGCAGAACTTGACTGACAATTTCAGATGACGAAAGATGAAAAAAAACATCGAGATAATGTTCGAACGATAGTACACCCGGGCCTTAAGGGTTCATTTCTTGTTTGTGATTATTAGACAGTCGAAACGAAAAACTACTATCCCTTGTTTCACATAAAACAAAGATTTTTTGTGAGCAAAATACGTATGAGAGTATCGAATAACAAAGGAGTAGTTCTAGAAATGACACTTCTTGCGTGTACAGAGAATGTAATTTTTTTAAACTACTAAATGTATTTTTACGATAAAAAATTTTCATTCCGGCGCATTCTGCATGTTTGGCACAAAAAATCCTTTTTTAATAATTTTCAAAAACTATTTTCTTGGCACGAGTAAGACTTGTCTGAGAACTTTGGCGTTTTTCTCTCAATGTAAAGACATATATACCTTTATTCATCACGAATATAATCCGAAAGGAATGAATTGAGATAAAAAAATTATACACAATTCAATGGCTTTCGTAACCCCTTACGAAAATTCTTCACTAATATCATCATTTCTCCGGCAAACCACACCAAATAATCCTAATAAATCAATAGCGCCATAAATACTCACTTAGTTTGAAAGAAAACATCCTCATCGACAAATCCAAAATTATCATGAACTTTAGTGACAGTCCCAGTGAACACCCTCTGTTTAGTCGAGGAGGATTGGACATTCTGCTGCACCTGCTGCTGAACGCCCCCAACAGTCTGTTGGAACGCATTGGCATTTAGTGTCCTCGGTGTGGGGTAGGAAACAGTCGCCACTTGGGGGTACAATTGTCCAGCAATTCCAGAGGGGAGATTCGAGCCCAGTTGTGCCATCGAGGCCATGGTCAAGTTGGGCTGTTGCAACCCAAGGCCTTGTTGATAGACCTGCTGAGTCTGCTGCTGGTACTGGACCATCGGCTGACCCCCCATTCCACCCATGGCCTGGCCCAACATCTGTTGCTGAATGTTTTGAATTCCCTGGCCTAGAAAATCCCCATTTTGTACTTCAGAAAATGAGAGAAAACAAAAAAAACATTTTTAGGATTCAGTTGACGATTCATATATAAATAATTCATGGGGGGTAGGGAATTGTTTTTGGGGGAAATTATTCGTGATTATTAATTAATGTATTACTGAGTGATAAAATGAGTGATAGTTTTTGTGCCTCGTGATAAATTGATTTCAGAGCTGGTCAAAATATTATTCAAATTACAATACTATTAAAATTTTCTTATAACTAGCGAAATTAAAGATTAATTCGCTAGTTAAAACAACGTTTGTTTGTCCCTAAACAAGCAAATTGTCAGCAAATTTCCGACATTTTTATATTTTGTTTTATTTCATTTTATTTTCTTCTATTTCCATTTCCGTTTTCACAATTAGATTAATTTAATTTTATTCATTCTTATTGTTATTATATTGTCTTTTTCTTAATTCACAAATTACAACATTGAATGAAGAGGAATTCCCCATAAATCACGTGAGAATACAGATCGACAAACAATTTTCGATAATCATACCTCAAATTTTTCATTTCTTTGTTTTTCTTTAGCGATTATCTTTCGAACGTGATTTTTTTTTATTTTGATAATTTGAAATTATCTCCAATTGCTATTCAGTTTTACATATCCCTGGAGTCCCCAAAAATTATGATTGTACTATCAAAAAAATGTTGAAAAAAAGTTGAACATTTTCAAAGAGCGTTTTTGAATAATATTGGGAAATAAACCCAATAGGGAGGAAATTGCAAATTAAAAATTCGATGTATCTAATGTTTGTCAGGTCGTCATTTGTCACTGTAGTCAATGGCTGTCAGATCTTTAGTTACCATGATAAATTATCTATTCACTATTTCCGCTTTATCGAACTTATTTCTCAATCTTGATTAAAAACGCTCTTTGAAAATGTTCAGTTTTTTTTCTACTTTTTTTTTATTGTACAATCATAATTTCTAGGGACTCCTGTGTGAAGTTAAATCCAATGGAAATTGTGATAGATTTTACATTATGAAGATGGAAAAACAATCGCGATGGCGTTCAAAAGATAATCCACCCGGGCGTTAAATTGATTAGTCCCAATGATCTGGGAATGTGAACGAATATGGACATTTTACATCGCTTTGGTCTCATTTCAATGGAACCGAAGAGGGAAATTGCAAAGAGAGATTGATCATCATCAATCAGTATCAATAAAATGAAAAAATCTAGTTTTCTGTCTTTTCGAAATTTTTCAAAATATTTTTTTCTTCTTAAAAAATAAAGGGAGATTAACGGTTTTAATTTCTGTGATCGTATTTCGTTCAGAGGGAAAACGGAAAATGCAAGAAAGGAAAATTAATTTTAAAAATCCATTTTGCAAGCTTGAAAATTTCAAAACGTTTTTTTAAAATAATGAAGAAAAATCAATGTATTTTCTTCCTATAATCTAATTCTGATGGAACAAAATGAAAAGCGAGAGAGAAATGTGATCAACACGAAAACAGAATTTTTAATTTTTCAATGTCTAGGGAAAAATTTCAAATTGATATATTTTTTCGAATAACGAACCAATACCATAATTTCAATTTCTATCCCCACATTTCCATAGAATACATAAAAAATACCAAAGAATTCAAATCGGTGATGAAAATTTTTATCGGATTATTATTATGTAATTAAATGATGTTTCAGACTTATTGAACATGCCCAATGAAATAATATTAAAAAATTTTGAATTAGAGAAATTCTATTTGAAATCATTGTATTTCAGCAATTGAAACAGATAAAATAAAATTGATTCAACTCTGAATTCTCTTGGTTTTGCTTTCGAATGGAAATATTGTAACCCTTCAAATTTCAATTTTGGATTTTTTGTGTTAGATCGACCCATTATGATTCAAAAAGTCCGAAAATGGAATTTTTAGACCGTGCCCGTACGTATGTGTATGTGGTAAAGACTTTCTTCAATCGTGCGCTAATGAATAGATGGAATCGAATCTTTTTTTTCTCAAATGTAGGTATTGTTGAGCCCTATCGATCACCATTAATTAAAATTCAATTCATCGATTAGTTTTAAAAATTTTTGAATTTTCTCGAAAATCGGTTGTCCCACGATAACGAAAAAAAATGTGCTGAACTGATTCAATGATGGCTTAAAAAATTTGTTTGGATGTCCATTCGGCCGAGTTCGAAGATGAAGGCGATAGCAATAATCGTTATTTTGATTTATTCGAAAATTTTTAAAAGTTTGTATTTTTCGAAAATCAGAATTCCGGGGATATCTTTGAATATCATGCTTCAAACGAATTCAATCATAGCTTAAAATGTTTGTTTTAATGCCATCAAGTCGAAGTTAAAAGATAATTTCGATAGCTATATTGGTTGATTTGATTTTAATGCTGATTGTCGAAAATTTGGAATTTTTCATGAATTTCCCTGAAAGTGAGCTCTCCGATGGTTTCTTCAAATGTGATGTTTCAAATTCATTCAAGTATGTCTAAATAAAATTTTTCTATCAACATTCCATCGAAGAGCTGAGGGGAGAGATGGAACAGTAAAAAAGACAATCGGTTGTATAGAAGAGAAGGGATAATAAGAATAATGATGCTGATAACATTCAACTAAGTTGAAAATCTGACAAAACTAGGTAAAAGAAAATCTTATTCAATTTAATAAAATGAAACAAACAATGAGTTACACATGACAGAAGGAAATTATATGCAGAATAACCATTTGGAAGTATATTACTAATTTATTAGCAAAAACAACTATATACTATTTATAATACAAGAGGAATTTTTTGTTGTGAAAAATAAATTTTCTATTTCGCATTCATCAAAACAGTTGAATAATGTAATTCGAAAACAGTAGCGAAGAGATTAACCTGTTCAAGTCAAAACACTTCCGTTGGGGGAGCCAATAAATTTATCTCGGTCGTTTTAGGGGTCGATTGAGACGAAAATGTTATTTTTCAAAAGTCGACTCAAACTGTTCTACCACCTCGCTAGTGAAATGGGGAATACTATTTCATTTTTCATTCTGATGCCATTCTAATGGGATGAAACAACAAATAAACGAATTATTCAACCAGCAAAAATAATTACTTTGAAATAACAATTTAGAATTGCATTTCCGTGTGATTTCCACAAGTTCCAGGTGTAATTATAATAATTTTCCATCCATTATTCAACAATTTTTCATAAATTTACGAAAGAAGAACATTGATCCCCTTTCAAGTAATTAATATTGCAAGAATATCTCCAACAGCATCAGATTTAGAAAAAAAATTCAAAAGACCTTTTGTGTAGCCCTTTAAATTCTCGACAAAAACCTTCTCCCCCACCAGATACCTTGATAAAATCCTCTCTTACTCTTCTAATCACTTATTAACCTTGAAAAATATAATAGACACATGTGCAATAGGTAATAGGGACATGGTTACGTAGTGTATCGGATTTATAATAAGGACTTTAGTAATTCTTTCGCCCACGAGCAACATCAGCACCTCATTCGTCTTACGACACTGAATAAAAAGCCTGATAATTGAATTTTCTAAAAATAAAAGAGAATCACTTTCTCACACACTGAAAAAAAAACCTAGAGCTCACAATTTCCCTCATGAAAACATTAATCGCGTGATAATTACGATCCCCGCAAAAAAATTGTGTTGTAGGATTTTCCAAAGGTGAAAAAAGTGGAATCGGTTATGATGAAATTTTAGAAGGGAAATGGAAAAAAAAATGGGGACAAATAAATGTTCTGTTGTTTCAGTGGGTAAAATTTTTATACTAATATTCACCTGCATTTCGGACCCACGGGGGGTTCTTCCCACCTCCGAACGGTGACAAATTACTCATTCCTGAGGTAGATAATTATTTATCAACTAGGATTCACGTTTATCTCACTCACGAGTGATTTATTTACTTTATTTAATTATGAAACTAATTTTTTTAAGGGTTTACTAATCAGTTTGGCCCATTCAGCATTCAGCGTCCTTCATGCAGGCGCCATGTTTCCCGGAGGACTACGTGAGCCGAAGGAGTGACTGGTGGAATTTATTTTTTTAGAGAACAGTAAATTTTTCATTTCTGTTTCTGTCTAAACAGAGAGATTAAAATTGTTCTCGTAGAATTTCACAATAAATTGATGATTTTAGGAGATGAAGGTGATTGATTTGATTTGTGGGAGGTGATGATAAATTTTTGTCATGATTGTTTATGAGATGTGAATAAAATGCATTAATGAGATAATTTATTTCAATGTTTAGGCGAATAATTGAAAATTGTGCTGGGATTGTTGGTTTTTCAAAGAAAATTCGCTGTTCATTATTCAAATTTCGCGGTTAAAATGATGGCTGTGCCGGAAATTTTGACTGTGGTCGTTGGAAAACACCGGAAGTAGAGTGAACAAATTGAGAAAATTATTTTTTCTTAGAAGTAATTTAAATTTATTTCAAATTTTTTGAACTTTTTCTTAACGGAAGATAAAATAATTTTTTTTAAATTATCGATATTGCGTAAATATTACATTGTGGGTCTCGATGAGGAAATATCCGTGGACACCTGCGGTAAAATGGACACAAAAAAAATTTGCCAAAAAAAATTTTTTTTTTTCAAAATTCAATTTTTTAAAATTTATTCTCTTCAGATATTTTTTATAGAATTTCCTCGGCTCAAATTTTCCAATTTTTTTTTATTGTATTTTTCTTCTTCTCATCAAGAAAATCAACAAAAAAAACTTGGAAAATTTGAGCCGAGGAAGTGCTATAGAAAACATCGCAATACAATAAGTCACATCGAAAAATCGAATTCTAACTTTTTATAGAATATTTTATATTGATCATTTCAATAGAATCGGCCAAAAACTTATAGAAATTCAACAGAATCGTCTAGCGAATTCGCCACGTTTTTTTATTAAATTTTTTCACCTGTTTAAGCGTTTGGTCACATACACACGGACACACGTTCGATTATCTCCCTAAAAATATGATAAGAAATTTTTCGGGGTCATGAAATGTGGAGATATCATGAAATCTCGGCTTTCAACTTCCGGGGTCATTACTATAACTATCCGATCTATATCGAGAATGTGAAAATGTTGGTAGGATGAACAGAACATTTTCTGGACGGGGGTTAGTCTCTGGACAATTTCAACTTCTACTGAATATTCCGTAAATAATAAAACGAAAATTGTAATAATAATTGCGCTTTTCAATAATATTATTGAGATATTATTTCAATAATATTATTATAAATTACTAGCAACATGAGGCGCTTGCTTCCCGCGCGCCTTATCGATCGGCTAGTTGAAAATTGATGTAGAATAATTGATATGATGATGATGATTATTGCTTTTTTTTATTCATTCCCAAATGAATGAATGGTATCACATTGAAGGAAATATTATTTATGATAAGTCAAAGTTAATGAAGAAAAAGTTGAAGTTTCTCGAGTTTCCCGAAAAACTTGAGAAGTTTTTTGAATTCACTTGAAAACTCAAGCACTTTCTTGGACTCTTTAAAAAACTTGAGAATTTTCTCGAATTTTCTAGAAAACTTGAAAAGTTTCTCGAATTTTCTAGAAAATTGGCGCAACTTCGCGAATGTTCTATAAAACTTCAGAAATTATTCGAATTTTCTAGAAGACTCGAGAAATTTTGATTTTTCTAGAAAATGTGAGAAGTTTTTCGAATTTTGGAGAAAACGAGAAATTTCTCTAATTTTCCAGAACAGTTCAGAAAACCTGGGAACTTTCGAGGAAACGGCGGAAATTCCAAAGAAATATCTCATAATAATAGAAATGAGAATAATTTGTCTAGTAACTATCGCGAGCATTCTCGAGTTCTCCCGGAAGGTCTAGAAATTTCCACTATCATTGGCTAAATAGATTATGTTTTCAGTTTCGAAGAATATTCCCTCATTTTCTAGAAAATTCGAGAAACCTTGTGAAAGTTGTAGAAATTTCTAGAACTTCCTGCGTTTTACCCTCTCAGGGGTGGATTTTCGAGAAAACAAAAAACACGTGTCTTTTTATTTTGAAAGGAGAATCTACACGCGCATTTTCAACTCTCTAACTTGAGCGGTTCTCGCAATCGCATAAAAAATGTTGCCCCCTTTTCACCCCCTTAGGGGGTGAATTCCCTAAAACCCTCCCTTAGTGGGAGCTTACGTCACTAAGGGTAGCTGTAGACAAAAGGTCATGCTCGTAGCTCTTGTAGTTTGGGCTGTGCGTTGATACATCCGTCGCCTCGAAAATGGCTTCTCCGTTATATATACAATTATTATTATTATTAGTATTATATTATTAATATTACTATTATTATAATTAATTAACTATTTTTTCTGTTGATCGACAATTCATAAATAAAAAAAATATGGCCCAGTCGCCCAGAAATTAGGGGTTTCGGCTGCATTCAACTAGTTCATAATATAATTATTCTTTGTTTTGTTATTTTCACTTCAAATAATTTTTCCTGCTAATTAAAACATCCTTGAAGGTATGGAAGTCATCGTATCTCCATTTAGGTGATTCTTTTATGCCTTTAGGGACGGAAAACCGCGATTCAGTCCTCGAGGCATAAAATATCGTGTGCCACACGGCAGTAAAAGTATTTTAGATCCTATCATGAAACTCGAATTTCCCTTAACCTTCCAGCAATTGGCCTGTTCACCCTTCAATAGACCTTTTCATTCTGGAAATCTAGGGGAAATATTTATTTCGTTCATTCAACGAAAAAATCTCCGAAAAAACCATGGAAAATTCTGATAAATATTGAACTTTACAATGATATACACTTGAGCGCTCAAAAACCATGATTTATATGTAAATTCGATAAAGTGTCCGCAAATCCTAGGGGAATTAACATGGGAAAAAAGTGTCCGCAAATCTAGTGACTCTCAGAATGAAAAGATCTATTGTCAACATAAATTCTGTCCTACTAGCCTGAACTGAGTATGGTATGTGATTGGCCAGTTAAGAGTATCGCTCATTTCTCATTGGCCATGAGCCCCCACTCAGTTAAGGTTAGTAGGACAGAACTTTTGTTGACGATTGTGTATCGAGAATTTAATATATTGATGGCGCGGCGGTCACGTAGGAGGTAAGTCGGAGGGGAATCTATTGTTCTCTCGCAGAAAACCAATCGCTGAACAAAAACAAACGGTATTCCAATGGCAAATTTTCAATCTATGTCGACCATTTTTGCGTTCAAAATATTTTTTAAAATAATTTTTCTGTTTTTTTCCCACATATTTCAAGCTTTCCTTTATTTTTCTATCTTGTCTTTTGGATAACTGAAAAATAATTAATGTGGATAGAAAAAGTGACAACGTCGTGCCGTTCGAGGTACAAGTTAACAGCGCTGATTTATCCAGCTGTTATGTTCCTTCCTATAGCGAAATGAATCACCACAACTCCATTCGTATTTGCCGCGCTTTCCCCTCCACGATTTCTAACCCTGACATCATCGCTATTCCAAGTTGCGCACGCAGAATTCCGATTTTTCATGAGTTTTTTAATTATCCCTTCTAAACAATTCTCCTAGGCCCCTTGAATTATTTAATTTATGTTCCTCCATGAAAGCTCCACCCAGGTGCAGAATTTCAGGAAAATGACGCCTTTTTTTCCTCTATATGAGATATTTTCATCCTGAAAAGGCACCGTCTGGTGTGAATTATCCGCCTCTTGAGGCAACTATTTCATTGCTGTCGAAAGCAGAACAATTCATGTTCGAGACTTTCAAATTCGCCCCAAACAAATTCTTTTTTCGTAATTTTCAACTAGCGATTTTGTTGGCCCTAACAAGACTTGTTTGACAACGGGTTTGTTTTGACGTGGATACGTCTATGGTTTCAATATAGAGGGTCATTTTGAGAAATGGTCCTTATGTGCAGCGCCGTCTATCGGAATTCTAGAAAATTCTAGACATTTCGAGATAATTCGAGAAATTTCTCGAAATTTCGAGAAAATTCCGGGAGTTTCTAGGAAATTCGAGAAAGAAGGAAAGACCATGGACGTATCCACGTATCATTACAGGTGTATCAAAGATACAGCCGCCTGCAACTTTTTCTCCCAGTGTACGCAACAAATGCCCCAAAAATGATGTTATCGTCAAATCAAATTCCGCCGCGCTCTCCCGCCTCTCCAACCGGAAGCCCTCGGCACTGACTCCCGTATTCTCCTCCTCCATGCCGAGACTCTCTCAATTTCAAACCCTCAACTCTCATTCCGTTACGCAATAATAAAAGCCGAAAACTCTGCTGCACGTGCCAGACTCGCCACAATCTCTCAATCCCCCTATCACTTGGCCCTAATCTCCGAAAAATCCACCCCTGTTAAAATAAGGCCGTGCCAGTGGTGCCATTAGTAATGGCGTTGGCATCGATCTGCCGGTTGTCAATTGATTCGACCTTCAGTAGCTTCAGCCATTTGGGAGCCACCGCCCGCCGCAGTCGCCCGTCCTTAGCATCTCTGGTTAAAAATTTCGCAGCGTCAGCTGAAAAAATGTCTCTGCCACGTGTTTTCTTCGACATGACCGCCGACAATCAGCCGGTGGGACGCATCATCATGGAGGTGAGTCATTAAATCATCAATTAATAACGATTAAATCGTTAATAGTGTGGGCTTTGCCGGCTGACCCATCGTGCCCCTTCCCCTCTGTGGCCATTTTGTATCGCTCGAACACTGCGCGTTTTTTTAATTGAATCTCTTACGCAAACTCATCACCTTATTTCAGCCTCAATTGACGCGTTTATCGACGATAAAATGGAAATGGGGCGGTATAGGGTGCGCGGGATGGATGGGGATTTTTTTGGAGGCGAGGTGATGACTGATCTCTGCCCGCCATTGTGTTCACCTCGTGCCTCGTGCGCAAAATTTTCCATTCGTCATTCACTACTTGCGGGTTTTTGTTTCTCTAGTCTTGGAGAGTCCGATGAATTTCTTTCGTTTATTTTTGGCGAATGATTTTTTAATTGTTCAGCACTTGGGGATTTGAGACTGGGCTTTTCTCTCGCGATGGAGCTGCAGAATTCGATTGTGTTGAGGTCTTATTTCACTTTATAATAATTTATTTTCACATGAAGCAAAATTTACTTCATGCAACATTTACTTCAGCCGCTACTTGTGTTTTTTTTTGATCATTTGAGTTTTTTTATTCGGTTTTGGGGGAATTGATTTTTCAGTTGTACATTTTCCGGGATTTGAGGTCTTAAGGAATATGTAGGGACGTGAGGGTCTAGTCTTTTCTTTCGTGATGAGACTGCAAATTCCATTGGATTTCATTCCTATTTCAACTCATTTCCGTTTTATTTTTGCATGACGTCTACGAGATGAGATTAATGACAAGATGAAATTTAACGTTTCATCTGCTTTTAATTGGTGGTGGATTGTGCGTTTTATAATTCAGTAACGAAGTAGTAAAACGGTTTGAGTCGACTTATCTCACAGTTGAGTTTTCGAGAAATATTTCCGAATCTAAGGGAGATAGCAAAATTTTTGTAATTACATTTGTTGTAGTCCTCACTCGGTTCTACAAAAAAGGTTATAACAAAAATTTTGCTATCTCTCTTAGATTCCGAGATATTCATTGAAAACTGGCCAGTAGTCAAAATTGACTTAAACCGCTTTACCACTTCATCTGCTTTTAAATAGTGGTGGATTGTGAGTTTTATAATTCAGTAACGAAGTAGTAAAACGGTTTGAGTCCATTTATCTCACAGTTGAGTTTTCGAGAAATATTTCCGAATCTAAGGGAGATAGCAAAATTTTTGTAATTACATTTGTTGTAGTTCTCACTCGGTTCTACAAAAAAGGTTATAACAAAAATTTTGCTATCTCTCTTAGATTCCGAGATATTCATTGATAACTGGCCAATAGTCAAAATTGACTTAATCCGCTTTAACACTTCGCTACTGAATCGTTTAGGAATTGTTTTTGATCAAGTAATTATTTTTTCTTCGAAGAGAGTTTGAAAATTTTCATTTCGTTTTATTTTTATCTTTGAGGTAGGTATTTATAGGTTTGTTGAGGGGGAGAATTTCTGCGAGTGTCCGCATGATTAATTTCCGGTAATTTTATCCAGAGCTCGGGAAGGGAGAGATTTTAATAGTTGAACAGATTGGCTGGGGGTTTTTCTTCGGAAGTAGTGGGTTTAGAACAAATTTTGTTCTACAAATGAAGTTTCTCGATATTTTTCTCTGAATATCGCCCTTTTGTTTAAAAAATTTTTCATTCAATAGAGATGTGTAATCTCGGCACTTTTAGGTCCCAAAAGGAGTCGTTACAATATGAGAAAATATTCGTTCCTCAAAACTCGTTACTCGTAATTTTTTTTATCGATGATTGAAATAAAAAATAAGAGTTAAATTACGAGAATAATTAAACTAGGTAAAGTGGCGCAGTTAAATGGGGATAATTGCGCCACAATTTAACATTTTAATAAAATATTTTTAAAAAACCATTTTAGGGGAGGGCGGGGTAAAATGGACACTTTCGACTTTTTGAAAATATTAATGACGGGTTGAATTGTGGATGAAATGGAATATTGTTTTGTCAAGGAAAAGAACAATTCTTCCCCTTTGCGATGAGCCTAAACTGATCTCAATTTATAAATCTGCTTCTGAGTTATATTTTTAAAAACGCCAAAAATGTCGGTTTTATCCCACTCTCCCCTATATCAGTTAGAGAATCTTCTGTCACATCCTTCTTCTTTTGTCACATTCTTCTTTTTTTTTGGAGCTTTCAGAGGATGAAGTGGGAGTTTGCATCGAGAAATATCATTCGAACATTCTTTGGTTTCAGGCGGCTAGGACAGAAATTTACAAAAAATTCCGAATACCTTGCCATCTCGATACTCGTTACTTTCGAGTTTGAGAAATTATGGATTAAAAGTAACGACTAGCTACTACCCGCACATCTCTATCATTCAACGAATCATGGAATTATCTCATTAGTCGATACGCTAGCTCTGTTTCTGTGTGCACTACGAGGTCCAGTAAATTTTATTATTGGAATTTACGTTGTTGTTGTTTTTTTTTTAAATTAAATTGAATTAACGTTTCTGGTGGTGCTGAATGTAAATGCAAGATTCGAATTCGGATCTTGCAAGTTGCCGTCCGACTGTTTTCTGTATATTTTCTGTTTCACGATTTTTTTTCCCTAACCATGATAGATAAAACTTTATCGGGGGTGGGAGCGAAACGAGCAATGCTTTAGCCACTTGCGCAAGGTGTGAACGCGCTTCGATGCATTTAGCGATAAACTCGGCGGAGATAGAGAAAAATCATTCAAATGAAGAATGTTCGCCATTGAATTTTATGCATAATTAGTTTTCTAACATTTGTCCCTACACCCAGCGGTTAATGAGATATTAACGATTTCGTGCTGCATGATGGGACAGTTATCCACAAAGTTTTTATTTATCACAGTATTGCGAGTAAACGGTTAGAGATACAGAAAAAAATCGAATCTAAGTTGTTTCCTCATCATAAATACACGGATTCGATCATTTTTTCTTTTTTCGTATCTCCATTACTTACAGAGATGTAGCCTGTTAAGTGAGTGCGAGGGAGCTAATGGAATTCAATGCCAAAGCCCGCGCTCTCACTTACCGAGATATATTTCTGTAAATAATGGAGATATGAAAAAAGATAAAATAGGAACTATGTATTTTTTATGGGAGAATAATTTAGACGCGAAATTTTTGTTGTGAATCATCCATTTTTTAATTTGAATTGGATCAAATCTACTGTTCCGACTTTATTTGAAGGTTACAACAACAAACAGTTTGTCATAAGACTGCGTCGTAGGTCTTGTCCACTGAGAGAAAAACGACAAAGTTCTCAAACAAGTCTTACTTGTCCAAGAAAATCGTTTTTTGGAAATTATCAAGAAGAATTTTTTTGTGCTAAACATGCAGAGAGTGCGCCGGAATGAAACATTTTTGTCGCAAATATAGATTTAGTAGTTCAAAAACAATTGCATTCTCTGTACACACAAGAAATGTCATTTCTAGCATTACTACTTCGTTATTCGATACTCGCATACATATTTTACTACCGAAAAATCTTTGTTTTATGCGAAACAAGGGATAGTTTTTCGTTTCGGCTGTGTAATAATCACAGATAAGAAATGAACACTTGAATGAAACAATAATAATGATATGATAGCAATCTTGTAACTTAGGGATAAAATATTTGTTGATCAATTTTCCTCTATATTAGATATTTTCATCCTGAAAAGGCACCGTCTGGTGTGAATTATCCGCCTCTTGAACCAAATATTCCGTTGTTGTCTAAAGTAGAACACTTATTCATGTCTGAGACTTTCTAATTCGAATCAAACAATAGTAGATTACACACCTCGGCCAGTAAAGTAAGGAATGTCTCAGATCACATGTTTGTCGACCTCGGCTTCGCCTCGGCCAACAATTACATGTGATCTGAGGCTTTCTTATTTACTGGCCAAGGTGTGTATACTATTTTTCTGCTCGACGCAGCCGGAAAGTGGCAACTTCGTTTGGCGCCGCGGCCAGGAAGTTGACGCTTTCCGGCCGGAGGGCAGAAAATTCTTTTTTGAATTCATTTGGTTTGACAACGGGTTTGTTTTTCTCTCAGTATAGTTTTAGAGATTTTGAGCAAATGAGGCTTGCAAAAAAAGTTCAGTATCTCAAACTACTCATCCGATTTTGTCCATCCAAAATTGTATCCTGTGATATCACAAGAGCTACAATTCTACCAGATGTCAGCTTTCCTATTACAATTCTTTAAAGAGAAATTGAAACTATGATATATCAGATATATAGTGAAAAAGAAGTTTTGCAAATTTGCTGTATCTCGAAAACGAATTTTCTGAGAAAAGATTAATTGTGTTTTTCATTGAACCTTCAGAAGAAATTTTCGAAGACGATTTTTTACGGGGAAATTCCGGGAACCACGCTGAGAGAAAAACAACAGAGTTCTCAAACAAGTTTTACTTGCGCCAAAAAAATCATTTGCTAAAAAAATTAAAAAAAAAATATTTTTGTAACAAACATGCGAAGCGTGCGCCGATATTAAAAATTGCGAATGTAAAAATAGATTGTCTTTTTTAACAAAATTGTATTATCTGTGCAGGCAAGAATAGTAGATTCTTCGCTTTCGGCGAGCCTCGTCTCCGACTTACCGACGCCTCGTGCTGCAAACTTCACACTCCTCACAAACCTCGACCTATCGTCCTTATGACATAATCTATTTTTTATCATGAAGTCCCGCAAAGGAGGGATGGGGTGGGGGTGGAGAAGGGGGTCCAGGGGGCGAAGCCCCCGAGGGGGGGTTGGGGGGGGGCTCGCCCCCCCCCCACTGAAAAAAAAATTCACAAAAGAAAAAAAGAAAAATTGAAGTAATTTGTACTCTGTTAGATATAAGAAAAATACTACAAAAACCCTTGAAAAACTCTATTGGAGTTTTGTGAAAATTCTATTGATTTGTTGTGCTAATTCTATGGGAGATCATGCAATTTTATAATCTCGTATTCCTAAAAGAATATTTAATAGAAAAAAGTCCATAGATTTTTCCTTTCTTCATTCTGGGATACAAATTTCTCAAATTTTTTATGAAGGCTACCTTCCCCTCGCTTCTCCTCACTGAATGAAAAACCAGAACAAACGTAAAAAGTGATAATAATGAGTGAATCGGAAATTCTCTGTTTAAAAGGATGATTCTAATGAAAATTGGATAACAGAAAATTTTCGATGGTGAATGTGCGGAAAGCGGACTCAGTGATGAAAAAAATATTTCTTGATAAACTTCCCTCTATAAAAGATATTTTTGTCCTGAAAAGGCACCGTCTTCTGTGAATAATCCACCTCTTGAACCAAATATTTGGTTGTTGTTGAAAGCAGAGAAATTATTCAGGTTTGAGACTTTTAAATTCGAACCAAGCAATTTTTCTTTTTGGTAATTTACAACTGACGATTTTGTTGGCCCAAACAGGACTTGTTTGAGAACTTCTTCGTTTTTCTCTCAGCGTATTATGGGATTCTCTTATTAATGAGTGATATTCAAAGAAAGTGTCGACATTGTTTTCTCCACTTACTCCCCCGATAACAATAATTACATAATTAACAATGATATCACCCGATTGTTTCTTTTCTCAGTTATGCAATGATGTTTAACCAGTTTTTCCTTATCAATGACTCAAACGACCGAAATGTTTATCTTTCCGCAGTTGAGGACCGATGTTACACCGAAAACTGCTGAGAACTTCCGTGCCTTGTGCACAGGGGAGATGGGCTTTGGTTACAAGGGGAGCAGCTTCCACAGAGTGATTCCCAACTTCATGTGCCAGGGTGGTGATTTCACGAACCACAATGGCACTGGTGGCAAGTCGATCTACGGCAACAAATTCCAGGACGAGAACTTCCAGCTGAAGCACGTCGAACCTGGTCTATTGTCCATGGCCAATGCTGGACCTGACACCAATGGAAGTCAGTTCTTCATCACATGTGCTAAGACCAGCTGGCTCGATGGCAAACACGTTGTCTTTGGAAAGGTTATCGAGGGTATGGATGTTGTGAGAAAGGTGAGATCAATTTGATAATCGAAGAGAGTTTATGAATGAATTTTACATATATATGATAAAGTCAGTAACGAAGCGATAAAACAGTTTAAGGCCCGGGTGTACTATCTTTCGAACGTTATCTCGATGTTTTTTTTTTCATCTTTCGTCATTTGAAATTGTCAATTAAGTCCTGCATCATGCAGAAGTTTTGAAAAATTATGAATGAATAGTCAAAAAAAGTAGGAAAAATTCTTAATTTTTTCAAAGAGCATTTTTAATTTATATTCAGAATAAGTTGAATAACAAGAAATTAAAAAATGTATCTGATTTACGGTGACAAATGGCGGCCTGTCACCCAACATCATGCAGGGGGAAGACTGATTTCGTAAATCTCTTCCCACACTGCACAGAGACATTTATTACGGAAAAGGCTCTTTGAAAAAAGTTGTAATATTTTGGGGATTTTTTTAATCACACTTTTATCACATAAAAATGGAAGATGATTACATACCATTGTTTTGAAAATTGAGATACCTACCTGTCACTTTCCATGAGGAGTTAGTGTTTTGTTATCCACCATGGAAAATGACAGCTAATAGATAATTTGCCACAGCGAATCAGATATTTGTAATTTTCACTTTTTTCAACTCATTCTGAATCTCAATTAAAAACGCTCTTTGAAAAAGTTGAGAATTTTTTCTATTTTTTTAATCAATTTATCATATTTTTGGGGAATTTTTACATGATGTACCACTCAATTGAGAATTTTTGATTACGAAAGATAAAAAAAATACAGATAACATTTGAAAGATAGTCCGGGCCTTAAGTCAATTTCGACTATTGGTTAAATAGTTAGTTTTCAATGAATATCTCGGAATCTAAGGCAGATAACAAAATTTTTGTTATAGCAAAAACTCCCAAAAGTAGTACATCATCAGCCTTTGTAGAATCAACGCGTAGTTCAAACTACATAACTGACGGTAATAGTCTATCACTTACGAGTACATCAACGTATTCAAGTTGCAATCTAGCAATTATACGTGGAAGTACATCACCTTTTCAAATTCAGTGAATTATCAGAGACTTATCACAGGCATTTAACAGTTATTTAACAATTCAGTACATCAACCTCTGTATTAATAATTTTAGACACTCAACAAACAAGTTCAAACTAACGTGTAAATATTACGGTTAACGAAGTTGTTCGATTCCACTAAAACAGTGACGTTTTATAAATCGCTGTTCCAATTAATTTCCAGCCTATCCTGAAATCAACACCTCCCACATCTACCCTAAAATTAGATCCTCATCTCAAACAAACATTTTTTGTAGCTCTCAATTCACTCTACAAACAAGGTCGTTATAAAAATTTCGCTGTCTCCCTTAGATTCGGAGATATTTCTCGCAAACTCGACGAAGAGCCAAGTCGACTTAATTTGTTTTATCGCTTCGCTACTGAATTCGTTGCTGTTTTCTTTGTTCGTGATGGATTTCAATGGAATTTTCGCTGTTAATTAGTTTAGAATCCACGTTCTAACATAGACTATAAATTACTGTGCTAAGTTGCTCACAAGGGGCTACACCATTGAAAGTTCCAGTGTGTTCTGGAGATTTCTTGAATTTTCTTGAAATTTCCTGGATTTTTTTGAAAATAATGGATGTGTCCAGCCGTAAGGGAAATCTGGAAAATGGGGAATTCTCAGGGAATTTGATTGGTCTGGAAATGTCCGGAAAATGTCGGGAAATTACGATAACTTTCTGGAATTAAAAAATTTGATGTTTGTTTTCTCCAAGTTACCTAAATTTTTGGGAATTCTTCAGTTCACTAAAAAGATGGCTCTGGAATTTGATCTCAAATTTACTTAGAAAAGTGGGATGTTAACATCTTCCAGTGGGGTGAGACTAGAAACCCAGTGTTTTTGCAGTTTTTCTATGGAAAATTCTAAATTCACCATTCTACTTTTCAAAGGAATTGTTGCATATCAAGATGGTGGAGATATTTGAAAAATACTCATTTCCAGCAGCATACAAACTGCAAAAACACGGACAGTTCCAACCTTGTCTGCTGAGAGATGTTAGCATCCTAATTTTCTCGGCAAATTTTTCGCTGTATTTTTGTTAAAAAGTTGACAGAACGATCACCTCTTAAGGGGAGACCTCGCTAAAATTGAAGAGTCTTTGTAAATTCTGATGTAGATTCTTGTATTCCACAATTTTCGTTCGACTCTAGAAAATGAAATTAAGTACCCATTTTACGTCAAAAATTATGTATAACAGCCCATGAAAAAAATGTTTCTTTCAATGCACTCTTTTTTGTTTGTTCTTGCGTAATGTCTAAAAAATCGAGTCGAGCAGACCGACTAAATCTAAAAGAATAATTTTTTCTTAATCCATTCTATGCAATGGAAAATGAATACTCAATTTTATTCTTCGCAGTCCAAGGAAAATATTGAAGGTGAAAATGGGAAATGACGACGAAAATTCACTTTATGGGTCTTTTCGCCAATCAAAGATAATTTCATTTTACCGACGTTTGCCTTTCAATTTCGTTCGGTAAAGGAGTTAATGTGCATGGATCCATCTATTGCTTATTGATTATCAACGCTATGTGATCCTCGTTTATCGAACCATTTTAGCCCTCTAAGGTGAATTTCAATATCCCCACTCCATGACCTTCAAAACAGAATGCCGGCATTCTTCCATAACATTCTTCCATAAAAAAAATGATCAGGGGGCCCATTCTCGAAATATTTCCGTGCACGGAAGAAGTGGCTTCGTAGACGAATTGCGTATAGGAATCATATAGGCGTTCCGTCAACGGAGTCGATTCCGCGCACAGAAATATTTCGAGAATAGGCCCCCAGGGAATTTCATCAATTTAATCGGGAAAAGTCAAGTCTTCAGTTAAGGTGTTTCGTCTGTACATCACCGGGGTGGTGGAACGGAAGGGGAGTCTTATTGTTCTCGAGCCCGGATTCAATCGCTGAGCGCGAAATTTTCCAAGTTTCAAGTAACTATTTAAGTGTGCATTTGAATATTTTTTGAGTATTTCTCATCACCTATGGGTGTCAAATAATTTCTATTGGATGTAAACACAGCTCAGGTCAGTTCTATTGGTTGTTGTTCCTGTTGGAGGGCGTAATTGCACCGAAACTTATACTTTTTCAAATCATTTGTTCAAATAACTTTCTTATGGAATCTGAAAAAAATCTGAAACTTATACGTGTTCTCAAGAAAGATTTGATTTATCACCCACCAGTTTTTCCTCAATAGTTGATTATTTTTTTAGGTGCCATTGAAATTTTTCTAATTGAGAGTGGGGTAACCTCGGAGATTATAGCTGGATGGGTTACAAAAACATCCAAATTTTATAATTTTTTTTCTTGAGACAGATCTGAAAAAAATGTGTAAAAATTTTCAATGGTGCAGCATACTGACATTTCTCTCATGAATTTTTCAATTTTTTTTCATTATTTTGACTTTTCACACGAAACACTTTAAAATCCATAACGGTCTGTAAAACCTCGAAGTTGGACGGCCTCAAAAACGTAGAACATGGAATTATTAATAACAATTAGAACGAGCCCAGTATTCGAAAAAACATAAATCGTACAGGATCAGCACGGGTGTACAGAAAAAACACACCACTTCGCATCCTGACCCCAAGACAGAAATTTTCTTCAGTATTATCGCTTACTCAGTGAAATAAACGAGTGCTCTTTTAACCCATTAAACCGGCTCACAGTACCGCGCTCTTCTCCATTGTGTGGGAGTCTGCGTGCGTAATCGAGCCTTCCTTATGGCACATTACTATATGAAAAAACTCCCCACTTCTCTCACACCGAGGTGATTCGAGATTTTCCATGTTCAATGAGTTAATCAATCTGTATTTAAACCATCACACGAGGGGTCAAATTCAGATATCTGTTATGTTTTCTTTCATGAAATCTTTTCAATATTTTAGTTATCTCAGTTTATATTCACTTTGTTATATAATCTTCAATGATATCCAAACTTTATCTATTTATTCAAGAATTTGAGAGTCGGTCCATCTCAAAATGTCAAAAATGTGATCAACATAGAGCTCATTCTTATTAAAATCTCGTTGGAAATGGCACATTCATAAAATTAATAAACTATAAAAATTAACAAAGAATGGCAACATGATTCGCATTATCTCTGAATATAAATTAAAAATGCTTTTTGAAAAAAATAAGAATTTTTTCTACTTTTTTTTGATTATTCATTCATAATTTTTCAAACCTCCTGCACGATGCAGGATTTAATTGACAATTTCAGATGACGAAAGATAAAAAAAACATCGAGATAGCGTTCGAAAGAACTTTAAAACCCGGGCCTTAAATAGTTACTTGAAAATTGGAAAATTTCGTGCTCAGCGATTGAATCAGGGCTCGAGAACAATCAGACTCCCCTTCGGTTTCACCCCCCAGTAATCTACAGAAGAAACACCTTAATGACCATAAACGACTGAAGACTTGGTGTTGTTGGAATTAATAAATACCACTTCGAGAAATCGAAATAATCTTCTCTAGCTCATAGAATACTCCACAAACATTTCTATTGCAGAAATTTTGAAAAATGCTTTAAAATGCAAAATTTTCTCTTCCAGCTCGAAGCTCTTGGCACCCAGAGTGGCAAGACCACCAAGAAGATCGTGGTCGCTGATTGTGATGAACTATAAATCCCAATCAACCAGCACTAAGATTAGCCGTTGAGTATCTTCCTCCCTCTACGTCTCACCACAAAAACCAGCGAAAAAAAACTAAAACTAAAAATGAATAAAAAGCAATCAACAAAAGATGAAAAACGGATTTAAATATTCAACATACAGTTCTCCACGAAAATAATTGCTTCCGGTTCATGTACCCCAGGGGCCACTGGATTGTGCTCCGTGCACCACGAAATGCAGCAAAAGATTTGAAACGAATGGCAAATCTCAATGAGATTATTGATAAACAATATTTCGAATTTTGAAACTAGAACTTCCGTTTGTCGTAGCTCTTATCAAGCGAGTTTGATAATTATTAGGTTATTAATTTTAATTAAATCAATTAATCTTGTGAAGTGGTAAAACATGAAAATACAATGTAAACATGTCCGTTGATTTTGTAATTGTCTTGAGAACGAGTGGATCTAGGAGGAAAGTGTTTTCAGACTTTTTTGTAGATAATTAAATTTCCTACAAGAAATGCATTTTGACTTTTCCCTCTAGAACAACTTGCCACCGAGATAGTGTACGGTTTCACCACTTCCTTGCTGAATCATAAATTCACTTTTTTCAATAAATGCTGCTCTAAGTTTGATAAAAAATTTTTTCTCTCTTCCACGGGATTTTGAACCTTCTTTCTATGTGAATTTCGTACCTTCAACTTCGATTGTAAAACGGTTACACTCTTCCAAAACGTAAAATATTGTAAAAAAAGTTAATGAGAAGGAATAACATGTGAAGGACCTATCTTTTTTTATTGTAAATTAATTAACGTGAATTCAACGTTTTTTTGTACATTTTTGTAAGAGTTAGAGTTTAATTGTCATTTGAATTTCATGAGAATATGGCATTTATCTACTGTAGATGATGAAGTGTTGGAATTATTGAGTGTGTAAATTGTATTACATTGCAAACAGCATTCCAGATATAGTACTGGAGAGTGTATTACCCTCGACCAATCGTCGTTACCCCTATTTCTACTTAATAAATTGTTTTCAGAAACAAAATTGATGATTTTTGACGATTCCATACCTTCTGCACTCCCATTAGTTCTTGGAGAAGATTCCAGGACAGTCGATCCCATCCATTTCGTCCTGGAAAGTTTTATCCAAAATTGTTTTTGTAGAATTTCATTGCAGGCAAGGAAAAGTGTTGACTCTGATTATACGAAACTGTCCAAACGCTGCCGCGTGTCTATATACGAAGCAACTACCGCCAAACAGGGCCGGCGGAACCATTGTGGAGTACATTGGTCACTCCATACTTCAAAATTTTTCAAGTGGAATTCCGCATCTCAAAAAAATTGAAAGAAAAATAATTGTTCTACAATTTTATGAAAACTGTATTTTTGTTCCATGACAGACTGATTTAGGTCTAGATAAAATTTTGGATGACTTTACCTCGCGAAAGGCGAGAAGAAGAGACCTGTTTGCAATATCACCTCCAAAGTCTGATATAGGGGGGGCTGGGGTAAAATGGACACTTGACTTTTTTTAAAATATTAGTGATGGGTTGAAATGTTGATGAAATTTAATCTTTTTTTTTCAGTACAAAGAACAATTATTTACCTTTGTGGTGAACCTAAACTGAGCTCTATTGGTACATTTATTTCTGAGTTATGAATAATTTTAGAAAAGTCTAAAGTGTCCGTTTTACCCTACCCTCCCCTACTAATTAATTAACAAAATAAGCGAAAAGTATTACAGTGTTTTTAAATAATTAGGGGGAACCAGGGAAAATCAGACCATTTGACCCTCCTGATGATCCTGCTGATCTATCCCGGTTGACCCTCATGACTCTTGTGAGCTTTGTAATTCCAGAAAAATTTAATCCACACCTCAAATTTTCACGTTCCGCCGCCCCTGCCACCGAATCATATCCATTAAATAAAATGCAAACGTGACAAGCTATATGAACAATACTCTGAGTTACATTATATAAATCGGCCATAAGCTTCTCAGTGGTGTCACTATTTTTTTTGTTCGAATCAATAGTTAAAAAATTATGCGCATAGCAATGGATTCATATGCAAATTCTCGCATTTCACATCATCTCCTATCATTTTTTTTGTTACGAACTTGGTTGCAGTGCAATACAACCGCTCGCAACAAGGGAGCCCAGGAATTTACAAATTGAATTTGGTGCAGGAATGATAAATGCCTCAGATATTTTCCAATTTTGCTCCGTGCGTAAATGAATTCTCGAAAGTTATGAGACTGAAATTCAGTAGAATGTCCTGTTTCGTGAGCGGAAAAAATAGTTTTCATTCCATTTCGGAAAACAGAAATAAAACGTGAGGCGAATAACCATGTGAACGTTTTGAAAAAAAATTGCAGTCTCATTAAAAAAACAAAAAAAATGTTTTTGTAAAAAAACTGCGCCAAGGAAAAGTTGTTTGATTCTTATTGAACAGTAGAAATTTTTGAAAAATATAAAGAAATGAAAAAAGTCAAGTCAGAAATATCAAATAAATGACCGTAGGGCACAATCAGATGTCTATGAGAAAAATATTTCTAAACCGAGTAAGGATTGGAAAAAATTCTCTACGAAACAAAAAATTAGTAGAAATAGGGCCAATGCGCTTGGCGCCGACTTCTTCAACTCACTGTCGAATATCTATTTAATTCTCTATGTTTTGATCCGCGTCAAAGACGTTGGTCCTGCTTCTACTGATTTTTTATTTCAAAGAGAATTTTTTTCCAATCCTTATTCGATCTTTTTTTCTTTGTCGCGGATATGTCTATGGTTTCGTTTTGGGGGGTCACTCCGTGAAAAAATGCTTATGTAGCCGCGCCATCTATTGGCGATGTTTAAAAGCGTGAATTGAGTTTTCCTTATTAGTCAGCGGAATTGAGTTTCTTGGTTACAGCGAGAACTAAGATTTTCCTAAAGACGAGAATTTAATCTGCAAGGCAAAATTGAGTTTTCCAATAAACGACTATCGATGATTTAAAGCTAAAGATTCCTCTTGTGAAGTGCTTCCTTCCCGTTCTTTCCTCCCCTCCTTTCTCGTTTTCGAATTCTGGTTCTGCTACTTTGGTAGTCCACTCCTTGTTCTTCTGCTGCTCGAGCCGAAATGGCCCAGGCGGATTGGGTGCACTAAATTTATAGAAGGTTACTGCGCAAAAACTCACCATTGGCTGAAGAGTCAATGGTGGGAAGTTAGAAATCTGATTGGCCGATGAGTCGATGGTGGGGAGAAACTTTCTGATTGGCCAATGAGTCGATGGTGGGGTTAAAATGATCCAAGGCCGAAGACAGTGCCATTTCTCAGATAAGGAGCGAATGAATAGAAAGCATTCTTAATCAACTAAGTCTTTTGAGAACAATTTCTGATAGTATAAAGTGATTAGAAAATTCGAAATTTTTTAAATTCTTGAGTATTTCCATGGAATTCGTCAATTAAGCAGGTTCTAATTATGAATCACGGATTTGTCAATTTTGAAATTCTTTATAAAATTATAGAGACGTATAGAATTGAATATAACATTAAATTCTTGTGACGAATTACGTTAAAAAGGATACTACCAATGAGAATTTCGGTCCATAGACGTATCCACGTTAAATCTGACGGCTGTATGAAGGATACAGCCGATTAGGATTTTTTTTTATTTACCTTATTCGATCTAGAAATATTTTTCTCATAGACATCTGATTGTGCCTTACGGCCATTCATTTGAAATTCCTCATTTGGTTTTTTTTCATTTCTTTGTATTTTTCAAAAATTTCTACTGCTCAGTAGGAATCAAACAAAACTTTTGCTTGGCGCAGTTTTTTTTACAAAAATTTATACATTCGTCTACGAAATGGCCAAATGTGAAACCAAACAGATCATCCCTGCGGAATAAACATTAGAGTTCTGGTAAACGAGACAAGATATGTAGTCGAAATGTTAGTGAAGAAGAATGAGTGGTTCAGGGATTTTTTGTTTTGAATTAAATGATTTGTCTATGGCTCGTTCGACTGTGATGTTTGTTGAGAAGTTCATTATCGAACCTTTTTCAATGAAACAAATTATGAACGTAAAATCATCAATGTGTAATAAATAATTATAAGAGTCATATTGCGTTGAGCAGTGATAGGCATATTCATCAATCATAATTACCATTAAATTGTAAAGTTGTCAATTTTTAACATAAATCTTAAAATTTTAAATATTAAATTAACCATCAATTTGTACATTCAAATTTTGAAATATTCTATTAACCAATAATTTAGGTAGGAAGATTGACGATCATTTGGATGACGAAAAATCAAGTATCTAAATTTAGAATTAGTTTGTTAACTAACAAATTACATTTCAATATTATCAAATATTTTATTCACCATCAATCGGAAAATTTAGTCATTAAATTTACTAGTATTTTAAATTTGTTAAATATAGTTAAATTTTGATGAACAATATAAGGAGATAATCTTTCTTAATATTGTCAAAATCTAATTTTATTGGCCATCTCTGACGTTGAGTACTTTAAAAATGGAAAAAAGCGCGCAGCACTTGATAGATTCATGATATGTGGGAATAATGTTAAAAATTTGTAGTTGAATAAAATCGCTTGATAGATGTTTTTTTGAGACTGATATGAGTCTCGGCAGAAATGGCCAGATGAAAAATGCCAGGATGCCTCAGAATGAAAAAGTTTGAGGATGAATTAGCCTGCTAATCCTGGAAAATGATTTAAACTGGGTGATGATTGATTTCTTATGGCGTAGTAAAATAGTAAAGGGAGGTAAACCCGTTAATAACTGGTTTTGGGGCAACAATATCAGAAAATCTTTGTTGTGGAGAACGGTATCAAAAATGTTTCGTAACATTTGGTCTCATAATCACTGATTTACAAGATAATTCCATAATTAATTGAATGGGGAAAGAATGAAAAAAGAGACAACAATATGACATCTCTGTAAACACGCACGAAAAAATTTAATAGAAAAACCTATCGAATTCGTTAGAAAGTTCTATTGAACTTTCTATTAGTTTTTGGCTGATTCTATTGACATGTTCAATAGAAAAATTACAATAGAAAAAGTTAACAGAATTAGATTTTTCTACATAACTTATTCTTTTTATATATTTTCTATAGAATTTGCTCGACTCAAATTTTCTAAGTTTTTTTCATTCTATTTTTCTATTCTTCTGATCAAGAAAATCAAACGAAAAAACTTAGAAAATTTGAGCCAAGAAAATTCTGTAGAAATCATCCCAATAAAATAAGTTATATAGAAAAATTTAATTCTATTGACTTTTTCTACTGAATATTTTTTATTGAACATTTCAATAGAATCAGTCAAAAACTAATAGAACAGTTCAATAGAAATTCAATAGAATTTTCTAACGAATTCGATAGGTTTTTCTATTAAATTTTTTCGTCCGTGAATCCTGTTGATTATTTCGTTGATGAGTGATTTTGAGACAAAATGGCAAAAGACCTCTTATATACGGAGGAGGAAATCTTCCAAAAAGGTGGTTTAACAATTTCGAGGTAATTGCGCCATGAATTGTATTAAAAGAACGAAAAAAGAATGACAAAATGACATTTTTCTTCATTCTGTTAGTGATCGCGCTGAAGATTCGGATGAGATCGTCAGATCATTTTAGTAGAATAAAAAATTTCCACCAAAGTGTTTTTATATTTTGTTTTAAAATCACTCATGTTGAAATAATTTTCTAATTAATCGGATAAAGAAATGGAAAAAAATAAAAATAAAATGAAATTCTTGTCAGTTTGATAAGTTACCTCATTAGTTAGAGGATTTAGAACAAAATGACTTGACATTTTATCCTGAAACCACGCATTACTGCAGATAGTGTGAAATTCACTTTATGCATTTCAACACACCATTAAGTACCGGATTAATTTTGAGAGACAGTTAATGAATGAACAATCAATTTTTATGTCAACATTCAAGATTTATTGTTCAATAACATTGGTAAATAGTCTTGTTGCACCAGGGGCTCACAACATTTACACAGGATTACCTTCTTACACATTAATTATTGGGACAC